AAGTTAGTTAATCGTACGATAGAGTTAATGGACTGTCATCGTGACGAACGAGGAAAGTGACTGTGGACAACGCCGCGGAAGGTTCCCTCAATTTGGAGCGGTGTCGACGCCCGGGCTGCTGCCGAGGGCCAAGGTCTACTCGGGTCAATCACCATCAGTCACACCCAGATACACATCACATCACCTTATTTCCCTTGCACTACACAAAACCACATGCGACCTGACCGACTCCGGAGGGACCAGTCGCCTTGGATGTAGGTAAGTAAGCTCCGTCTAATATTCTCCCGGTCGAATGGCCGTAGTATAGAACGCTCCCCCATATAGTTTAGTGTAATTAGAGATTTTCTACGTGGCCATATTCTGGCCCCGTCCCTCTGCTGCTCGTCGATGGGATTACTCATGGGCCCTAATCCCGTCATCCTTGGTTGGAGCAGCTAGGGGCGTGCAATCTGGTAGCAGAGCGTGGTTCCGGTTTCGATTCCCCGGTCGATCCCGACCATAGTGTTTGATAAAAATTAAACAATTCTGGTGGCAGGGAGCGTTGGTTTGATTGGTTTAATTTGTATCTACAATCACGCCCGTCCGTAATACGTAAAAATATTTTTTTTTGTACGTAATAATAAAATTATTTTCCTTTGTTGCTTGCTTATTTGGTTAGCGGGTAGATTTGAAAGCCGCGCCCTTTTAGTGCGCAAGCGGGAGTTTTTCTAGAGGTATACGTCATGTAGGTAGATGGATATTATCACGTAATCGGTTAATTATCGTTGTCGGATAGTTGTAGTGGATGGCTTATCGAAGGGTCGATTTCCGAGCGAGGCATTTTTTCTTGATCGACCGTGATGTGTATCTTTATTCGTATTGTAATTTGTATTTGAGCTAAAGAGCAGTAATTAGTATTTGCGCAATTTGAATTTAACTTGATTTGATCGCACTAGTATTTGTTATTTGTTAATTTGATTTGTGTCTTTTCTTTTGTGCTAACTTGTATTTGGTTGATACGTAGTAATTCGTATTTGTGTAATTTCTATTCAACTCGATTTGATAGGAACTGCATTTATTAACTGTTAATTTTTTGTTGTATTTTTTATTTGTTATCTTTGTAATTTGTGCTCGAGCCGCGTCGTAATTTGTATTTAGTAGTGATGTCATCGCCCAAGCTACTAATCCGTTGCCTGCGGACTGAGTTACGCTGGGCCACAAGCGCCCATGCTTTGATAGGTCGCCCGGATAGGGTCCATAACTTGATGAAGCGGTTCGAGCAGGTGGATGCTCGAAGGGCCGCAGTGGAGGAGGCTTACGCTGAGCTAGAGGATTCGGATGTGGAGAAGGGATTCCTGGACTCCTGCTTTGTGGACTATGAGCAGTTCTTTTCGCTCACGGACGAGTTGATCGAGGCTGAAGGCAGGTATGCCGAGGAGGCGCGTGAGCCTCGGATGAGTGACCTGCCCGAGTCCTCTCGGAAGTAGCTTCAGCCGGAGCTGTTGGGACGACTCCCATCTCTGGACCTGCCAAAGTTCTCCGGGGTTCTTTCCGAATGGCTGACCTTCGTTGGTCCTTTCGACAGCCTAATGGACGCCCGAAGTGACTTGACCCCGAGCCAAAAGATGGCGTACCTCCTGGCCTCTTGGAGGGGGAGGCCCTGGGCGTCGTCGGCCACTTGAGATTGTCGGACGACGCCTACCAGACTGCTCGGGACCTCCTAGCCAGAAGATACGCCAACGTCCGGCGAATTGCGGACGAACATGTTAAGCAGCTTCTAAAACTCCCGCTGCTTAGTGACCGGGCCAGACTACGTCCGGACCTGTTGGATCCAGTCTTGGTGGCCTATAATACGTTGAGGCGGCTGGATTTACCAGGGGGCGAATGGGCTTTTTTGTTGCTCCGCATCGTAATGTCCCGTCTACCTCTCGATCTTCGAATCCATTTTGAGGAGAGGTACGGCGGGGACGAGGCCTCCTATATTCCGCCCTTCTATGACCTGCTGCGGTTTTTGGAGGAGCAGTGCCGGCAGATCGAGAACGCGACGGGCACCGTTGACGACTTACGAGCCGTGCCCAGTGAGAGGCTGAATCCGCCAGGCAAGTCGTCGTCAACCCCCCCCCCTGCTCCTATTGTATATAACTATCATCTGTGCGTTTCGTTCGGCTCTCCATAGACGACGTTCATGTGGAATTTGTGGGTGCTCTCTGCACTGAAGCTTAGGAGGCCGCTCTGGGCCGCTTCGTGTCGCGTCGCTGTTTGCATACCTGATCCGGTCGGATTGCGGAACTAATCGTAGGGACACAGATAGGTGTTTGAAAGAAGTCGTCGGACTTCTGTCCAGAATAGGACTTATTTATGGGCTGCGCTGTCCAGGAAGGGCATCCAGTTCAACCCTCCGGCTTGCCCACGTTGGGGCGGTAATTTTGAGGCGTTGGTTAGGGTTGCAAGATCTGATGGGGTGCCTAAGGTGGCCTAGTTTGGTTGTAGATTCGGTCTTGCAACTTGTCGTCGCGACCTTGTCCCGCTGACCGGTTTGCTCGTCGACCTAAATCCTTATGTCCGGGACGGGGGTTCGTTCGCGCCAAACGCTGTTGTCGGAATCGACGTCTAGGGGTTGCGCGGCTCGGTGCCATACCGGTTTGACAGTTGGATGTGGCGAGCGCGCGCGAGTGCAAGTGAGTTGTCTGCCAGCTGTGCTAACGCTAGCACACTGTAATTTTGTTAGGGAACTCGGAATAATTAGGCGCGGCCAGTAAATATACGGTCTAGGATTTGTAACGCGCATTCCTTGCTGGAGAGCTTCCCAGGGACTCATGGTGTCTGACTCAGAATCTGCATAGGTGCATTCCGCAATATTAGCTAGTGCGGCCTTTGATATTCTAGAAATAACTGTTGCTACGCGAAACGGTAGTGACCTTTGATCCGGACACTCCGTGTTCGTTTTGTGCGTTAACCTTATAACAAACGAGAGTTAGTGGCTTCTGTAAGTTAGTTAATCGTACGATAGAGTTAATGGATTGTCATCGTGACGAACGAGGAAAGTGACTGTGGACAACGCCGCGGAAGGTTCCCTCAATTTGGAGCGGTGTCGACGCCCGGGCTGCTGCCGACGGCCAAGGTCTACTCGGGTCAATCACCATCAGTCACACCCAGATACAAATCACATCACCTTATTTCCCTTGCACTACACAACCACATGCGACCTGACCGATTCTGGAGGGACCAGTCGCCTTGGTTATAGGTAAGTAAGCTCCGTCTAATATTCTCCCGGTCGAATGGCTGTAGTATAGAACGCTCCCCCATATAGTTTAGTGTAATTAGAGATTTTCCAATTTGGCCTTAGGAGGCTCGACCTACGTCTGCTCGTCGAAACTCAGCTGAATGGGCCCCTGAGGATTTGACCTTTAAGGGAGCAGCCGTAGGCCGTAACAGTAAGTAAAAGCAGTGATTCTGAATTACGTCCACCAAATAATTTATAAAAATGATGAAAAACAACGGCCCTAAATGGAATCCTTGGGGAACACCAGACATGACCACTGCTGGCGCAGATAACCTTTGTCCTCAATAATCTAGCTACTCCTGAATAATTTCTCTCTTCTGTAGGATCTCACCCAACGAATTAAAGAACTGTGAATTCCATAGTCCTCTTATTTTGTACACAGTAACTCGTGGTTTATTTTGTCAAATGCATTGGTGAAATCTTCATAAATTGAATCAACCTGACGTCGATTAGAATAAGTATCTGTAAGGGTAGTCTTGTGATGTTTCTCAACAATGATGATAGGCTTAGTAGTACTTAAAGGTTGCTTATGCTTTATTGTTGTTAGTGGGTAGATGTTGTGTTGTGGCAGCGGAATAGAAGTCACTATTTCATATTACTCATGGGTATCGCTGTTGTCTACCCATTTGACAAGCGTCAAACGCCTATGTCCATTATGTAGCAATCTATGATGGACCTATGTTTAGCAGTGTACTTGAATAGACGGTAACGTATTGTTGTAACTCTAGCACGTAATGTCGTATTTAGGTGTCGAGCGGCAGCGGGTGCGAGGATGGCGGCGGAGGGGTGTGTGGAGGGGAGCGCGTGCGCGTGGCGCGTGTGCGCCTGCGTGTGCGCTGCGCGGCGCCGCTGCTGGTGCTGCCGGTGAGCGGACGCAGCCGCCGCGCACTGCTGGCGCAGCTGCACCTGCTGCGTCTCGACAACACCTTCCACGAGGACTCAGCCGCCGGTACGCTCACTGACCGCACCCGATAGTGTTGCTGCAGCTCGCGTGCGCTGCGCTGCCCGGCGCCGCTGCTGGTGCTGCCGGTGAGCGGGCGCAGCCGCCGTGCGCTGCTGGCGCAGCTGCACCTGCTGCGTCTCGACAACACCTTCCACGAGGACTCAGCCGCCGGTACGCTCACTGACCGCACCCGATAGTGTTGCTGCAACTCGCGTGCGCTGCGCTGCGCGGCGCCGCTGCTGGTGCTGCCGGTGAGCGGGCGCAGCCGCCGCGCGCTGCTGGCGCAGCTGCACCTGCTGCGCCTCGACAACACCTTAGTAAGCTGAAGTGACAATGGGCTGGCCATATAACTCGAAGAACCGACAATTGATGGGGCAAAAGGGTTCTCGAGTGGCTGTCTCGTACCGGCAGGCAAAGTGTAGGGTGTCGCCCACTAGATGGAGTGATAACATGGTAAGATAAGTAGGAAGTTGATAGATGCAGGTGGCTTAGGACCGTGCTTTTTGGCATATCTTAGGGTAGGCCTTTGTTCAGCTGTGGACTTGTGAAGGGCTGTAATGATGATTATGATGGTTTTTCTTGTTATCACTGTACACTCGTGCTTAAAATAGAATCTTGATGACAGAGATCGAGCGTATGAAATTAAAAATATTGACTTATGTCGATTGGTTTGCTTGAGCTATTTCTATAGTGCGGTGTCACATGGTTGTTATTGGGATTATAGCGAGTGATATAATTAGTGGCTTGTTATATGTGTGGTCGTGAGTGTAAGTGTGGCAGTGTGTTGCAGGCGGGCTGGTGGAGGAGCGCAGCGTGCGGCTGGAGCGCGTGTCGCTGCGCTGCGCCGCGCCCTCGCGCTGCGCCGCTGCGCTGCTGCCCGCGCCCGCCTCCTTCGAGCTGCGCATCCGCCGCAACCTGGCGCACACGCACAACGGTACCCTCCCCACACACCCCCACACCTCACCCCTATTGACACCTTAACATACTTCACACTCCCACTCCTTACATTCCTTAAGGGTGCGTTTGCAAATCGGGCCAAATTATGCTGTTTTTCGGTACATTTTGTGACAAAACTAAACCAAATCAAATATAACTAATAACTACAACGTATAGAATGGTTCTTTATCTTCAAATAGTGGTAACTTTTTTGTTGAAAATAATAGTTTTTTACATTGTAAAACGGATCTTCCCTAGCCATTTACTACAAAATTAACGATACCGGCTCATATTTCGGTACATTTTTTGTTCTATTATCAACATATATTAAGATATCTAAAAATACTGTAAGTAGGCAGACATATTCAATAAAAAATGCTGGTGATTACCTTTTATCAAAATGTCACAAATGGTCGTAAAAAAAATAAAAACTGATGCTTATTTTTTGACATATTTTGCTGATACGGATGAATCCTAATGGATTGCAATAAGGGTTATTTTATTTTTAGTGTCTGTTTTGATTTGTTGTACAAAAATTTCGATGAAACCACAGTCGGCGCTCGGCCGCTACCGCGGGTGGTCGCTGTATCGCCTGCAGCAGCTGAAAAAGATTGCTGTACAAACATAAAATATTCGAATTTGATAGATAGGTACATGACCTGACAAAGTAAAATAATACATACATAATATAAATATTTTTATAATCACAAATTCTTATTATAATGTTATGTTTCGCTAAAAGCAAGTGGGATTTATAATATATAAATCCTATTCGTCTTGAACTTTATGGAGTGATCTGAAAGTATACGGTGAATGCTACTAGAACTCCTTGACGAGTTGAACTAGGTGTGCCGAGTTTGGGCTCATTATGTTAGTTATGACGAGACCTTACCTCCGGACTTGAAGGAATGACCTGAAGGTGTACTTCGGTAACTGCTAGTGGAACTCCTAGACGAGTAGAACTAGGTATGCCAAGTTTGGGCTCGTTTTGTTAGTTACGACGAGACCTTACCTCCGGACTTGACAGAATGACCTGATGGTGTACGTTGGTGACTACTACTGCAACTCCTGGACGAATAGAACTAGGTGTGCCGTGTTTGGGCTCGTTTTGTTAGTTATGACGAGACCTTACCTCCGGACTTGACAGAATGACCTGATGGTGTACGTTGGTGACTACTACTGCAACTCCTGGACTGTCCAGGAGTTGCAGTAGTAGTTACCAACGTACACCATCAGGTCATTCTATCAAGTCCGGAGGTAAGGTCAGGTCGTAACTAACAAAACGAGCCCAAACTTGGCATACCTAGTTCTACTCGTCTAGGAGTTCCAGTAGTAGTCACTAAATTACACCATCAGGTCTCTCCATTAAGTCCGGAGGTAAGGTTTCGTCATAACTAACATAATGAGCCCTAAATCTGCACACCTACTTCTACTCGTCCAGGAGTTGCAGTAGTAGTCACCAACGTACACCATCAGGTCATTCTGTCAAGTCCGGAGGTAAGGCCTCATCGTAACTAACAAAACGAGCCCAAACTACGCATACCTAGTTTTACTCGTCCAGGAGTTGCAGTAGTAGTCACCAACGTACACCATCAGGTCATTCTGTCAAGTCCGGAGGTAAGGTTTCATCGTAACTAACAAAACGAGCCCAAACTTGGCATACCTAGTTCTACTCGTCCAGGAGTTCCACTAGCAGTTACCGAAGTACACCTTCAGGTCATTCCATCAAGTGCGTAGGTAAGGTCTCGTCATAACTAACATAATGAGCCCTAACTCGGCACACCTAGTTCTACTCGCCCAGGAGTTCCAGTAGTAGTCACTGAAGTACACCATCAGGTCTCTCATCAATTCCGGAGGTAAGATCTCGTCATAACTAACAAAACGAGCCCAAGCTCGGCACACCTAGTTCTACTCGTCCAGGAGTTGCAGTAGTAGTCACCAACGTACACCATCAGGTCATTCTGTCAAGTCCGGAGGTAAGGTCTCATCATAACTAATATAATGAGCCCAAACTCGGCACACATGGTACTACTCGTCCCGGACTTCCAGTAGCAGTCACCCAAGTATACCTTCAAGTCACTTCACCAAGTTCGGAGCTGAAGTTATCATAACTAACAAAACCAGCTCAAAGTCCACAGCCAACATCTCACTCCCTGTAGATGGCTTCTAGTACCTAGCTGTCTCTGGAGCAGCCATTTATATTTCGTATCTAAGTATATTTTTGTAGGTAATAAGAAATATGAAAAAAAAAAACAATCTTCCAAATTATCAAAATGTTTATACTTACCTTGCGTACACTTGTGTGTGTGACCAGTGTCAATGTAATAGTTCGATTCTATACCTATCAATTTTGTAAACGCGTCCTTAAGCCGTGTATCGATTACGTGGTCTTGGCGTGAGCGCCATGAATGACAGCGCCGACCAGTGCGTACTGCGGAACGCATTCCAAATGTTCGAAGTGTATCAATTAAGTGCGTCTGGCGCGCGGCAGACGTTCCAGTGTTTGACCGTTCAACAATGATATCATTCGTGCAGGAACAGCTGCGCTTTATTAGTTCTATGCATATTCTCTGAGCGCTTTATTATGATAAAAATGACTTTTGCTATTCCATAGCATTTCTTTTGAACTATATAATTTTATCAATTAATGGCAACTTTGGTTACCCATAGCTCGGAACGCAACGAACACACACAATCATCCTAACTGGCGCGCGCGCCAATACTTAACTACTTTGATACGTGGTAAAAAACTGACACCTGTTGGAACGGCCCGCTCTACGTTTGAACATTTCAATGAACTATTTGGAGCGCATTCCAAGATGATATCCATTTCTCGCGACTGGAACGCGCGCCAATGTTCGACCTCTTGGAGCGCATAGTTGATATGCGGCTTAACACTCCTCACACTTTCGCACCCCTCACACCTTCACACCCCTCACACTCTTCACACCCCTCACACTCTTCATACCCCTCACACTCTTCACACTGCTCACACTTCTCAACACTCCTCACGCCTACACCTCTCACACTCAACACACTCCTCACGACTACTCCCTATCATACTCTTCACGCCTACACACCCCTCACACTCCACACACTCCTCACGACTACGCACCCCCCACACTCCTCACGCCTTTACACCCGATAACCCGTTCACCCACATCTCATATCCTCATACACTCACGCCGGTAGCGAAGCCTCCATAGAAGCCGAGAAGCCGGGCTTGCCCTATCAAACAGCTTAATAAATAATATCAACTAATAAAATAACTCGTAAACTGTTTCAAACTATTTCAAATTTCCCGCGCGCTCCTCCATGCAATGGACTGTCAAAATTAATCGTCGCGGCAAAACTGCGCGATACTGCTGTCATAAAAAAGGAGTTAAGTTGAGCGATTAGTCGTCTCTCTCGCACGCGTGGGCTTTTTACCGGGCTTTCGAGAAGACGATCGCTTCCTTTCTAACCTGTGGCAAAATGTTCTTTAATTAAATATAACTACGATTGTTTATATAGCAATTAGTATGGAGCGATAAGCCTGCCTTTATGTTTGAAGTTAGTCGAGCGCTGGGGCGCGCGAGCGACACGTTATTACGTTTGCAACTTCACTTCGCATTTCAAAGCTTACTCTTTGTGTTTACTTTAATACTTTTTTTTTAAAAAAATAGTGGAAATGGAGGATAATTGTGATCCTTGTGATGAATTGAAGTGTGTTAAAGTGCTATTCGGCGAGGGAAAGGTAAAATCTTTAAACTTTGTTCAGAAAAAACCAGCTCATATTCACATAAACTGTTATTGGTACAATTAAAACGTTCATCAACATTTTACGTAGACATAATCAAATCTTTTCTTAAGAAAGAGAGACGTTTCGATTTAGAATATAAATAATTTCTTTTTTTTTTAAATTTGTACATAGTTTCTACTTTGTTCATGCTTTTCTTTTGTTCGTGTATTGTATTGTATGTAAATATCTTTTTCTTTTGCTTAAGCAAACCCAAACGGCTTTTTTCAAAGCCACAAGGTATGCAACTGCTGATATATCATACAATCTATCTAGCAGTAGTATGCCCTCTGTGTGCTTTGTTAAACACGTCCTCGACAGCACTGAATATAAAACTGAAGAGTGGAGACAGATCAAGATGGGTGTATTTTTATAAAACTGCTAAAACAACAAAACCATATCTTGGGCTTACCCTTGTTTGAATGCCCTAGCTTCGCCATTGACTCACGCCTGTCACGGACGGCTCCGTGGCGCAGTGGCTTAGCAATCAGTTGTTGCGCTGGGGGCCGCGGGTTCGAATCCCGCACGGAACAAGTATTTGTATAGCCTACAAATAATTGTACCGGGTCTGGATGATGTCCTTGTGCAATTTATGTTTGTAAACTGCCTCCACGACACAGGAGAAAATCCTAGTGTGGGTGTAACGTTTTTAAAAAAAGAAAAAAAAAAAACTAAAAACTAAAACTCCTCACGCCCCTTATGATCAATACACCCAGCATTTATTGCAGTTTCTTACATTAGTTACACAAAACTTAAGTATTTACTTAATTTACAAGTTAATACCTGTCTTAACTAAACTTAAAGAAGACGAGTAACATTTTCGTTCAATGGTTAAAAAAATATTATACTCATTCCAACGTCTTGTCTATTGATATATTGGAATAGAATTGATTTGTTTTGGTTTCACACACATACCAAAAAAAAAATTGTGCACACTTTCTATGTTGCCGTCCACCACACACATTTTATAATTTTTTTGTCAGTTAAATTCCCGTATGATAATCACTCAGTGAAATAGGAAGATGGCTACTCATTTGCTTTGCTACATTGAAATAAATAAAATAAAGGTTTTATATATTTATATATTTTTTATACTCGTATACAGTACCGGACGTGGCGGTTCATGGCACGCTGACAACGCTGGAGCTGGCGCTGGACGCGGAGCAGTACCGGCTGGTGCGCGGCGTGCTGGCGCACAACCTGGCCGAACCTTGCGAGGAGCTGCTGCCGCCCGCCCCCGCCCCCGCTCCTGCACCGGACCCGCACCATCAGGTATCCATGCGCTCACATATCTTGTGCCTGACACATAATACTCCACACCATTTGCATCCCTCTATTTGTAAAATTAAGAATCATATATTTACCCTCGATGTACATGTTTGCGCCAAACGCTAAAATTTAAAAACAACATAACGGAGCGCGTCGGCGCGCTCCTCCGATGTACCTGGCACCGGCTGGTACGTGGCTCGCGCGCGCCTCCCCACTCACGCGCCCCGCCGCGTGGGAGATCGGGCAGCTTTTTGTCGCCAGCGGCGGCAAGGGTAGTATGGCAGTAGCTTCAGTGCAGCGGCGCCGTTGGTTAACGTTTTTTGTGGTGACCGCGGCAGCGATTTCGTGCGACCAGTTTTGGTTTTATGGTGTAGATTTTTAGTATTTGTGCGCGTTACTTCGCTACTGAATTGCGGTTTCGTGAAGATCGCCTCGGATTAGTTTGTCTAAGTTGTAAGTTCGTGACAAGAGGCTTGTATTGTATTTGACTGATTAAAGTAATTTCGTTTGAAAGTAATTGCGTCAATTGTGTAGTATTGCAGTGAATCTACTCGGACCGCGTGGTCACGTACATAATAACCTCTGATTGTGTCAGCTTTGGTAGCAAATATATGCAACGACGAGGAGTTGTGGAGTCTAGAAAATTAGACGCCGGGTCGATTAATTGTTTGGAAGTTAATGTTTAATTGTACCGTCGCCTTAAGTGTAAGTACAGTCTCGTTTTCAAGAAGTTCGCGTTCGGTTCTAGAAATAATTTGTTGCTGAGTGAAACGGAAGTGAACTTTGACCCACCGTTCATTAGTCGTGCCGTGTGTTACGTTTTTGATTATAATTAACGGGGATTTAGTTGAGTTTGAAGTTAGTTAAATGTACAATAAAGTTGATAGACTGACATAGTGAATTGAAGAAAGAAATTGCCAATTGGTGACGTCCGCTGGAGTGAATTACATTGTGGGGCAGCATCGGACCAGGCCGCTGCCTGATCACCTCAGCTGGGTCAGGCCACATATATAAACACACCACTAAACACCACTTACACACATTACACCTACCGCCTGACCGAGCCTTGTGTCCAGTCTTCGCTTCGTAACCAGGTACATACTATTTATTTACCTAGCCTTATCTCTATTGCGTAGGTCAATTGTCCATAGGCCATTTGGGCTCCGTCCTGAGTTGTCCGACGAGTCTACAGCTGTATGGGCCCCTGTATAGTCGACCCTTGTCGGGAAAGCTAGGGGCGTGTACAGTACATATACCAAGCCTGCTTATTTATCTAAAGTAATTTGCATTATTTTAACTCGCACATTGATAAACACCCGCGACAAACAAAAAATAAAGTTACTACTATATCGTACCACATATCAAGGACAGTCTTTTTCTCATAAAGTTTTTATGCATTGGTACCAAAAATATATAATCACTCACCTGACAAATTAAAAAAGTAGAGGAATAAAAGAAGTTGGTTGTATTTATTGATATCCATATACAAGACACTAACATATTTATTTGTTGTAAGATGTCGTAACTCCTTAAAAAATTAAAACAAATTAAAATCAATCAAATCAATCATCAACCTTACATTTTAAATTAACCAGTACGGCGCCAATTTAAAAATGAGGTGTAATACTTGACAGATTTCATTATGAGAAAGTTAATTTATTCGAAAAATGTAAAGGTTAATGTGTATTTCTGATCTATTAGTTATATTTTATATCAATTAGATAAAAAATAAATAAACCAAACCACAAATGTTTATAAAAGTAAAAAAAAAGAGTTAAAAATGTGGAGAAAACTAAAAAACAAACTCTAAGGTTGCACATTGTTTTGTGTATTACTCTAGAAATTGATAAACTTTTACTCAAAACTAACTTCTCATTTAAATGACATCTGGTGAGAGGAAAATTACTAACCCTCATTGACATTTTTGTTAATTATGTTGTAGTCAAAGAGTACATAATCACTACGTGTTAGTTGTAAGCTAACATGTGTTTTGACATATTAATATTCCATTGTATGGCATTATGATTTATTGTTCGTACTTGTTGATTTGATTTAATGATTAATGACATAATGTTTTAAATTTAATGATGTTGATATTGCAAGAAATAATCTAGGCAGGTTATGCTATACTTATTTAGTAGTACAATGTTAAATCTCTAAAACCTACAACTAGCACAAAAAATTACTTATTCTATTCTATTCCCTTTATATTTTTAATAGTAACAATTAACTATTGTATAAGTCTTATGCTCCCCAGGCGGTGTGGACGACGTGGTCACTGAAGCTGGATCTGCATGACGTGTGCGTTCGGCTGACTGCAGCGCGCGGGCCGCTGGCTTGCATTAATTTCATCAAGTCACGATTGGTCATTGAGAATTATTCTGACCTTAGCCAAGACATCGACCTCGTCTCCCAGGTATATCCCATCTCAATATTACTAAAAAGTTAAGCTTCTCACTGTAGATCACAGGTTTTCTCCGAATATTTACAAAATAATGCAACGAGAAGATTCTTTTTTTTTAATAGGATATTGTGACAAACAAGCACACAGTCCATCTGATGGTAAGTGGTTGCTGTGACACATATCATCATTTCCATCATCATCATTACAGCCCTTCACAAGTTCACTGCTGAAAATAGGCCTCCCCCAAGGAATGCCATAAAGCACAGTCCTGAGCCCATGCAGGGGCATACATCGACTTCCTGCATGTCTTACCAGGTCGTCACTCCATCTAGTTTGGGGACGCCCTACACTTCGTCCGCCGGTACGAGGCCGCCACTCGAGAGAACCTTTTTTCCCCATCGGTTGTAGGTTCTTCGAGCTATAGAACCGGCCCATTGCCACTTGAGCTTACTAATATATTGGGCTATGTCGGTCACTCTGCTTCTACTCCGGATATCCTTATTTCTAAGTTTATCACGCAGAGAAACTCCGAGCATAGCCCTCCCCATAGCTCGCTGAGCGACCTTGAACTTCGTCATCCGGCCAGCAGTGATGGACCATGTCTCAGTTCCATAGGTCATCACTGGCACACGCACTGGTTGTACAGTCTCGTTTTCAAGTTTTGAGGTATACCTGACGAGAAGATGTACCGTAATTTCCCGATCGCTGCCCAGCCGAGTTGAATCCGTCGATTGACCTCTCGGTCGAAGTTGGTCTTATCTAGTCGGACTATTTGTCCCATGTAACCATACTCGTCAACAACTTCGAGCTTAGTGCTCCCTACAACTATCGGCATCTTTGCTTTGTCATCTTAAGACCTATCCGTTGGGAGGCACTATTGACGTCATTGAGCATAGTGCTTAAGTCCTCTAACCATTCTGCCATAAGTACTATATCGCCGGCAAATCGAAGGTGGTTGATGTACTCGCCATTGAAACAGAAACGGAAACTTTTTATTCAATATATATTATAAATAATACTTATTGAAAGTCACTCTTTTGTATAATTACCACTGGTTCGAAAAAAAACCTCTGTCCTGGGAAGAACCAGCAAGAAACCCAGCGGGACTTTTTTTAAATAACAGCTTACAATCATGTATGTTACACGAATTAACAACACAACAAATTAGAAATAGCTTGGTAGCGATCACCTCATTTCCAGGGGTTATTATCATCCATAAATTCCTTAATATTAATAGCCCTTTTTATACAAATTTAGTTTAATAAAGTTTTTGAACTTTGAGCAGGTCAAATTTTGTATATTTTCTGGAATTTTGTTGTAAAAGCGTATACATAGCCCCGAGAACGAATTACTGATTCGATAGAGTCGAGTAACTGGTACTACTAGCTTGTGTCTGTTCCTAGTATTTACAGAATGAATATCACTTATTTTTGTAAAACTACTTTTATTTTTGTGTACGTACATTACATTTTCATAAATGTAATATATTAATTTTCTTAAATTTTGGTCGCAGCGACTCTTTAGGCTTTAAATCATAAATTGCTCTTATGGCCCTCTTCTGTAAAACAAATATAAAGTCTGTGTCAGCTGCGTGTCCCCATAGCAAAATACCATACGACATTATGCTATGGAAATAGCTAAAGTAAACTAGTCTAGCTGTTTCAACACTAGTTAGACTTCTAATCTTTTTTACGGGATATGCTGCAGAACTAAGTCTTCTTGCTAGTTGTCATATATGGAGGCTCCATTGAAGCTTCGCGTCTGGTGTGATTCCAAGAAAAATGGTGGTATCTACAAGACTCAGTTTCTCCCCATCTAAAATCACATTAGTGTTTAATTGTTTGATATTTGGAGTCATGAATTTCATACATTTCGTTTTAGTGCCATTTAAATGCAAATTATTAACATTGAACAAATTTACTAATTTAGATATAGCATTATTTACGTCGTCATATTTTAGCAATTGTCGACTTAATTTTAAAATTAAAGAAGTGTCATCTGCAAATAATACTATATCATGGTTATCCCCAACAAACAGAAAGGACAAACAAGAAACAGAAAGGGGCCGAGAATTGAGCCTTGAGGCACGCCCATTTATACCATCGACTCGGAAGAACTCATACTGTTAATGACAACTTTTTGCGTTCTTTTACTTAAATATGAAATAATTAATTTAAGAGCATCACTTCTTACACCGTAGTGTTGAAGTTTCCTGATTAATGTTTCATGGTGAACACAATCGAAGGCTTTAGATAGGTTACAAAATATACCCAAAACATCCTGTGAATTCTCCCATGCATTAAAGATATATTTAATCAGCTCAACACCGGCATCAGTTGTCGAGCGACCCCTTGTGAAACCAAATTGATTTTTATGAAGTAAATTATTTATATTAAAGAAATTTTACATTTGATCAAGAATAATTTTTTCAAAAATCTTACTAAGTGTTGGTAGTACAGAAATAGGTCTAAAATTGGCGGGGTCTAATGTACTATCAGATTTAAATAAAGGTATTACTTTACTATGCTTCATTAAATCAGGAAATACACCAGATTCGACAATAGTATTAAAAATAATAGCTAAATGAAGCGCGATTGTATCTATTGTAGACGCAATAACTTTAACGGAAATCCCCCACAGATCCGCAGTTTTCTTAACATCAATAATTTTAAAATATTTTACAATATCTTTTGACGATACTTTATGAAATGTAAAATTCTTTGTACACGCATTTACATTTTGTTTAAGTAATGATTCGGCGACGGCAGGAGAAGAATTCAGTGACTTAGTGGTTAATATCGGAATATCAGTAAAATATTTCTCAAAAACCATTGCAACGAACAGATCAGTTCTGTTCGAATTTGTTATTAACACTTAACTGGTAGTTTGAATTGCGAGAGTTGATCTTACCAATTTCGCTATTAATTATACTCCATGTCATTTTAATTTTATTAGAAGCTGACTTAAAATTGTTGCTCAAATGCAAAGACTTGGCTGTGGAGCACACTATTTTAAATATTTTTGAATATTTTTTTACATATTCCCTAAATTCGAAGCTATGATTATATGACCTTTCATGGTAAATTGCATTGATGTTAATACCGTATCTTTTCCAGTACAGTTGCTTGAAAACGTCTTCCAATGCAGCGGTGAAGAGTTTTGGGGATATAACGTCACCCTCTCTTACACCTCTCTGCAGTTGAATACCCCTACTATACAAACACAGAACAGCAATTCGATATACCGACAGTCAACTTGGCACCGCTGAAGGGACTGTAGCACCGCCCAAATTTCAACGGAATCAAAGGTTTTCTCATAGTTCACATACGCTAGGCAAAATGGCAGATTGTACTTTTCAGTCTTCTGTACGATTTGCCGAAGGGTATGTATGTTGTCTATGCTACTAAAGCCTTTTCGGAAACCAGCTTGTTTGAGAGGCTGGAAGTCGTCGAGTCTGCGTGCGAGACGATTCGTAATGACTCTCGAAAACAGCACGTAGACGCGGCTCAGAAGGGAAATCTGTCTGTAGTTCTTCAAGAGAGCGTTGTCGCCTTTCTCGAAGAACAAGACCTCCGCAGTTCTGCTCCACGTCTCCGGTGTAGTGCCACCGTGGAGAACGGAATTAAAGAGTTTCTGAAGGACTTCAAGTACCGGTTTTCTACCCGCTTTCAGAAGCTCTGCTGTAATTCCATCCTCGTCTGGGGCCTCGCCGTTTTAATGATGCTGGAGTATGTGTGTACAGCTGCCCATAGCACTTCTTAATCTCACTCAAAATCTCAGATATTTCGGAAACAACGCTGCCACTGTGTATGGGGCAGTGGAGTACGATCCTTTGTCATCTAGGCGAGCGGATGACGGCTGCGGGGAACCACATAAGGATAAGAAGGGGTATCTTCCAGGGCGATTGTTTGAGTCCATTCTGGTTTTGCCTGTCTCTAAACCCTCTCAGTACCTTACTGGAGGGTTCCGGGAGGGGATTTCAGCTTCGGAAAGGAGGTACAAAAGTTAACCACCTTTTCTATATTGATGAGCTCAAGTTATTCGCTTACTATGCTCTTATCTATGCTTCGACTTATCTATGCTCATCAACATTAGAACCCTATCCGAGGCTGAAACATACCGATACTTGGGTATGTTACAGAACATAGCTATCGATAAGACGGACATGAAACAGTCAGTTTGTGCACGCTTGACAAAAGTGCATAACAGTATTTTGTCGTGCGTTAATAAGATACACGCATATAATGGTTGGGTCATGCCTGTTCTCATGTATACCTTTGGCATACTCAGGTGGACTCAGACCGAACTAAACGCTCTGGATAGAAAAGTCCGCACTGTTATGATGTCCTACAGGATGCATCACTCGAGATCGTCAGTAATGAGACTGTACTTGCCGCGAAAACATAGTGGGTGCGGCTTTTTAAGTGCTGTCACCATGCATAATCGTGAAGTTTGCAACCGTCGTAATTACTTCCTGGCGAAATAGAATGATCCATTCTACAGGGACGTCATTTCGTGTGATAAAGGGCTAACCCCAATCCTTAGCCAACGAGCAATGGCAAGACCCAGCAGTACAGTCTATTTCCGACCGGGAGACCGTATGGAAGGAGAAGGAGCCCCACGGGAGGTTCTACAAGGCTCTTCATGAGCCTTTCATAGACACAGGTGCCTCCCTCCACTGGCTACGTTTTCGTGACCTCTTCGGGGTAACGAGGGTTTTGTCTGTGCAATACTGGATGAGGCTATTAAGACCAACAACTATCGGAGATACATAGTAAAGGATGGCACCGTCGACATCTGTCGAGCTTGTCGCCATCCCGGTGAGTCACTTAGACATGTCATCTCCGTTTGTTGGGCGCTTTCTAACTCTTGAATATTTGAGTAGACACAACCAAGTAGTCAGGATTCTCCACCACGAACTTGCTCTGAAATACGGTCTCGTGAATCGGAAACTGCCTTACTATAAGTACTTGGCGGAAGTCGTGCTCGAAAATGACCGCGCCAGGCTCTACTGGGACCGGGCCATCATCACAGACAGGACTATTCTTGCGAATAAGCCTGATATTGTGCTGATGGAGCGGGCACAGTCAAGGATATTTTTGGTCGACACTACCATTCCGTATGACGAAAACCTCGTGAAAGCGGAAGCAGATAAGAAAACAAAATATCTGGACCTGGCTCACGAGGCAACCGACATGTGAGGTGGTTTGCCGACCGAAATTATTCCTGTAGTCGTCTCTGCAAAGGAGTTAATCCCGGTCAGCTTTTCGGGTCATCTGAGGCGCCTGGGACTCCGTGACAGACCACTCCGGGCTCAAATGCAGAAGGCGGTGCTCATTGATACCGCCCGCATCGTCCGCCGGTTTCTTTTCTCTTCCCTTTCCGTCTAACCCTCGGCTGTCTGGTCTCCCTTGCCGAGGGCTTCCATCTGGTTGGGACTTTATTTATTAACGTGTTATTTATTTATTTATGTTAGTATGTTAAATATATATTTATGGTTATTTATTATTTCCTTTAATATATTTATTCAGCCCAATCAGATGAGAATACTCTACCCCAAATATAATTATAATATAGGCGTAGGGAAGTGATGAAACCACCGCCCGCTGACGTAACATTTAAGTGACCAAACTGCTACGTCGGCGCAGTTAGCCAGCGCCTTGCCTCGAGGTGTGAGCGCCGCGCCTCGGCAGAATTGAGTGTGCTAATTTGGGCCCGTTTGTGCTTATGGCCAAACCATGAGACAGTGCCGGGGCTGGGCGTCTCCCGTTAATTGACGCACATTATATGGATGATTGAAAAAAATAGACCGCGCAAAGGGCCGCTGCCTGGGGTTCGCCGGGGCGCGTCTGGAGCTGACGCTGCTGGTGCTGATGCGACAGCATGCTGGCAGCCAGCCGAGCGCGAGGTGCTGCACGACTACCTAGCAGCCCCTGGCATCCATCAACCCCACCAGATGGCTTGGTGCCGGCAGGGTATTCTCGGACTCGGCAAGCGGCACCCGCCGCTGGTGAAAAATGCCGCATGCGTTGGACAAAAATTATGAACACAAAGCCTCTTGAAACTATCAGACGGGAACATGTGTCACACTGTGCTCGCCCGACAGTTTCAAGAGGCTCTCGACCAGTAGTCGCTCCCGAGCCTCTTCTCTACGGGGATCACTCATTTGGTTCCTAAGGACCAAGATACCTCAGACCCAGGCAAATACCGTCTCATGACGTGTCTACCTACCATATACAAGACAATAACATCCACTTTGAGCGTGAGGATCACTCGTCACCTGAACTCAATCCAGGTGATGTCGCGCGCTCAAAATGGATGTCGGGGCGGTGGTGGTGGAACTAAGGAATCACTCCTGATTGACGCGGTCTTTGGCAAGGTGGTTAAACGCAACCGTCGAGAACTCTCCGCCACCTGGATAGACTACAAAAAGGCATTCGACTCGGTGCCTCATACATGGCTGAAGAGGGTTCTCGAGCTGTACGAGGTTGACTGTACAGTTAGAGACTTCCTCGGGCAGTGTATAGGGCAGTAGAGTACGATCCTTTGTCCATCTAGGCGAGCGGATTACGGCTGCGGAGAACCACACAAGGATAAGAAGGGGTGTCTTCCAGGGTGGTTGTTTGAGTCCAATCTGGTTTTGCCTCCCTCTGAAACCTCTCAGTACCTTACTTGAGGGTTTCGGGAGGAGATTTCAGCTTCGGAAAAAAGGTACAAAAGTGACCCACCTTTTCTATATGGGTGGTCTTAAGCAGTGGCAAAGCTAGAACTCCAAACTAAGGCTAGCCCAAGATATGGTTTTGTTGTTTTTAGCAGTTTTATAAAAATTCACCAATCTTAATCTGTCTCCAATCTTCAGTTTCATATTCAGTGCTGTCGAGGACGTGTTTAACAAAGCACACAGAAGGCATACTGCTGCTAGATAGATTGTATGATATATCAGCAGTTGCATACCTTCGGTGGCTTTGAAAAAACCGTTTGGGTTTGCTTGAGCGAAAGAAAAAGATATTTATATACAACACAATACACGAACAAAAGAAAAGCATGAACAACGTACAAACAAACTATGTACAAGATTAAAAAAAAATTATATTCTAAATCGAATCGTCCCTCTTTCTTAAGAAAATATTTGATTACGTCCGCGTAAAATGTTGATGAACGTTTTAATTACTACCAATAACTATTTATGTGAATATGAGCTGTTTTTTCTGAACAAAGTTTAAAGATTTTACCTTTCCCTCGCCGATTAGCACTTTAACACACTTCAATTCATCACAAGGATCACAATTATCCTCCATTTCTACTATTTTTAAAAAAAAAAGCATTAAAGTAAACACACAGAGTAAATATTGAAATGCGAAGTGAAGTTGCAAACGTAATAACTAACTTCAAACATAATGCCAGGCTTATCGCTCCAGACTAATGGCTATATGAACAATCATAGTTATATTTCATTATAGAACATTTTGCCACAGATTAGAAAGGGAGCGGTCGTCTTCTCGAAACCCCGGTAAAAAGCCCACGCGTGCGAGAGAGACGACTAATCGCTCAACTCAACTCCTTTTTTATGGCAGCAGTATCGCGCAGTTTTGCCGCGACGATTAATTTTGACAGTCCATTGCGCGGAGGAGCGCGCGGGAAATTTTAAATAGTTTGAAACAGATAACGAGTTATTTTATTAGTTCATAGGGCAAGCCCGGCTTCTATGGAGGCTTCGCTACCGGTCTCAAGTCGTTCGCCTCCAGTCGCTCCCATCTTATGGAATTTCTAAACATCACTTGTGATTTTAGCACAAATGTTATAGAAACTACATAGTGGTAACTATAACGCTTATTTTCATTAAACGCCAGAGACAGGTGCAATAAAATAATCACAGGCTCCAACATAAAATATAAATACACATAAAATAAAAAAATAAACTGAGGAAAAATGGCACTACAAAAAGCCAACGCAACAAAAAGCGTAACAATAAACATGTGCAAGGCCTTGTGCACACAATTACATTATTTGATAAGATACAAAAGAAAAATATATTTAGAATTAAGCAAGTATTTCTTAGGTTTATAATATACGGACACAGTATACTTCATAAGAAAGGTGTAATACATCGACACAGAATTCTGCTAACTTTGAAAATTTAAAAGGTATTCTTTTAGTTTTATTTTAAAAGTGCGAACTGCGAACTTTTTGATCGGAGATGGTATATTATTCTAACACTTTGTGACAGCATACCGAAAGCTACTACGTAAACGTGGCCGTTCTGTGTCTTGGGTACAACAAGCGAACAGTTTCCCGTGAAAAACGTTGCGAAAATCTGAGCCTCTCATATAAGTATTTCGGTTGTTGATTTTGTAATATTTTATTGAATAAACAAAAAAAGTAAGCAAGTAAATATCTACATCTTTCCTCAATAAAGAATCAAAATGCAGATGCGTTGTCACCTGTGAGGACTAAGATGGAATGCCTCTTCCAGTAAAAAGTGTCTCCGGTTCTCTACACTCACCATACGATAGACAGCGGTGTATTTTACGCCGGTAATCTGTGAGAGCGTGGTTTTTCCCCTGTTGAGCCGACCTATTCGTGCTACAACTATACTAATATAGCTGGAGCATGGCTCAATCTTGCACATATGCATGAGTGACACTAAGCAAAGCGATTTTCTTCTCAGGAGATTCTGGTGAGTGACGCACGGTACGCAGCAGAGCCAGCTAACCGGCGGGGCAACGTATTCAGCAACATCGTACAGCCGCTGCCCGAGCGGCGCCACAGCGTGCAGGCCGAGGTGCACGCCAGGTCACTCACCTCCCCCCCTACCCACCTATTTGAAATTAGCCCAAATTGAATGTGATTTATGGGCTACAACGTTTTTGCCTACAGTTAAGTCTGACAACTTTACCAATGGAAGGTAACTTTGCTATCAGTGGCGTACTGGTACAAAATTACGATTAACACGGAAAACGTAACGTATTTAGAGATTTGTCATTTTTTGTATGAAAATTTAATAACTAATTAACAGCATTATTTTCAATATGGCAATATCAGAGTAGATTTTGACATTTTATTTTACCGCGAAATTGTGCCTGCGACTTAAACACCTTTTTCAGTGCTCCAGAGCTTTTGTGAATTTTAGTTGAAATACTGAATGTACGTACGTATATCTTAGTAATAACGTAATATTGATGCTTAGGAAATGTAATATTTCGTTTTTAATTTAGTAGTCTTAATATTTGTCTATAAAACTAACTTGGCAAAGTTACCATACTAGTGATTTCACGATGTGACGGTTACTTTGTCATCTTTTGCTACAACCAAGGGTTGTCACTTTTAGTTTATATTTCGACCCGACTATGGCGATTCAAATTATCAATCTATGTATGTATGTTTGTATAGATGTTTCACCGTAGCAGACTATTGGACCGATTTTATTTTTAAAAAATTAAAAGAAAAAGAAAAGAGAAATCTATATTATTTTACTGCGTTGTCGGGTATTAATAATATTATTACTTTTTAGTGTTTTTCATATTTTCAACTTAGAGTATTAATATAATTTGCACTCAAAGAACAGTGTCATTTTAATCGCTTACTTATACCTTAACTAGTTTTGCTATTGTTGGAAATCAAAATTTAGGTTCTTTATAAAAAAAATCCTGATCTTAATAAAATGATATCACTTTAGGAAAATGGGTCGCCAAAGTAGATGTAAATTAGGAAGTAGAACATATAAAAAGTACTCAGAAGAAATGCTGAATGTCGCCGTCACACTTAGTATTAATAAAAGAGACATCTTCTATGGAAGCGGAAAAGCGATTTTACATACCCAGACGTACAATGGAAAATAAAGTTAAAGGGCTTCGTATGCTTTCGCCTGGTGTACCGCAGAGATTAAGTGAATCTGAAGAAAAAAACATTGTTAAAGTTTTGATTGTGGCAAGTGAGTTCGGATCACCATTGATTCGCCTGGATTTACGCACGAATTTCTTGATATGACTCTAGCAAAGAAAATTATTCATAATTATTTTTATGTTTATTTATTTATACTTATTGAGAATTTAATAAGTATACCTCCTAAAAATTGTTGTGAAAATATTGAAATAAAAAATTTAAGTAAAGTACGTAATTAAGATTTTTGACAACCCTGAGACATATCTTCAAGTTTTTATGAAATATTGAAAAATGGGAGGGCAACTTTGCCACAAGAGTAAACTTTGCTATTTACAACACAATTAAAGGAGCAAATCATAACTCTGAATATTGTATATTATATTATGAGGTAAACTTACCTTCAGCCTTGAAGTCAAATCGTATTATTTTCATTATAAACCCCTATGGCAAAGTTGCCACAAAGTTAACTTTGTCATTTTCTTTTTTTAAGTATTTTGTCTATTTAATATTATTATTTGTTTAAATCACTAATAAACACCAAATCTATGAAAAATATAATATTACATTTAACATAAATAGAATAAATTTATTCCTTCTTTAGTTTTCAAAATAAATACTTTAACAAGCTCATTTATTTTAGGCAGTTTTTAAAAATACGCGTTAATAAATTTTCTATATTTATTTGAAAATATCCGAAATTTAACGTGATTTATCAATTCAACCGACCTGCATCGAATCGGCGCGTACGCCGTTCAATAAACATTCAAAACTGACAGAGTTGCATGTCGACACAAACGTAACCGATAACTGTCTTTATTATGGCGTATTTAAAAATTGGAATCATGTATTTACAACTATTAATAATTTAAAACGATTAACTATTTGCGACAACGAACTATTTACAACTTAAATATGCAATCACTTAAAATAACACCAACCATTCACAAAAATGTTTTCGAGGTGGACCATAGTTATTATTCAGTGCTTGCACACGTTGCTAATTAAATGGGTGATATCCAGAAGAATTTAGTAGTTTCCACACGTAGCACTAGCTAACTCAGAATTCTCGAGCTGCATCACTGGTGGTAGTGCGGGGGTTTCGCTTAAAATACTCGATCACTGCGTTTTCCACAGCCGAGTGTGGTACTGAATGACCACCTCGAGCACTTCCATGTAACGGAGTGGTGAACTGTACAGTCTAAGAGCCTTTGGTTAGCTGCGAAAATTGTTATCCGATTGGGTGGTACAAATGCGTTAATTCCTTGTCTTTGCAAACGCGGTAAAGACTTATAAGAATATTTACGCACCACGTAAATTTTCATTACTTAAAATGCTACACCGTACCATTTCATAGTATTCGCGGTTCGAATATTTTCGTTGCGCCATTGCTAACGAAGTGACAAATAATACTACCTACAAAAATGTAAAAATAGGACGCTGGTACGTAATGAGGTCGAACACAGTCGGCCGGGTGAACGTACCTAGCGATATAACGGCTTACGGAAGGAAAAGGGTAGGAGAACGCGTTTATTTTTACCGTGTCAAAACGACGCGCCGAACGCTATCGACTGTTTCCAAATTCAATACTCCCTTACGAATGTGTCCGTGCGTAATGAAATAGTAAGTGCTACATATTAATGAATGACAATCAGTTAAAATAATGCATTTCCACACATTTTGAATATAAATGATAAAGAGGACAAAATTTTTAAGTTTCTTATATTATATATTTTTCACCATTTGCTTATATTACCAATTCTGAACCTCCTCTGCGAATTTGGCTGAATATTGCAAAATATCCCTGTATTTATAGAAAATATTGTCTATGCAGGAAACGCCTGGACTCTTCAGCATATACTATATTGATAAACAACATGCGTCTTATGGCTATTCTGGACTGGTGGGAAGCCGCGAACCAATTCATTATGCAACCGCCAGCCCCAGCTACTGATCCTGACCTCGCCCATTTGTAAGTGTCTTCTTTTTTAAATTTTCAGTGTATGATTAATCTCGAGAGACAATGAGCAGATCATGCAAAAATGACAGACAATGACTTTCTGGATTTTTGCTGACATTTCATCACATTCGATAACCACACCATTATTTTTGGAATAGAAGGGAAGAAAAAGGTGTCCATCGCGCTGCTCTAATGTTTTTGGGCATTCTTTACATACGTATATCCGTGTACACATATATACTCTATATTTCCTATCAGTCATCATCTTCATCATTATTACAGCCACTGTGGTTTCACAAGTCAACTGTTAAACATAGGCCTCCTTCATGGAATGCCAAAAATGTACTTACATTCATCGACTTACTGTTACGAGGCTTCCACTCGAAAAGCTGTGAATACCCCCCGGTTGTCGGCTTAGTTGGTTCATTCAGGCTGCGTACTTTAAAGATTCAGGCGAGCTTTCATCTTCTGAGCTTCTAGGGCAAGTTGATAATAATCAAAAATGATAACATACTTTAAATGTATAAATGATTTTTCTTCAGAGAAGAGGCGAGTATGTCGGCGAGCGGTGACTGTACGGACTCAGCGGGCGGGGCCGGTGCGACCGAGGGCGGGCCCGTTGAGCTGAAGCTTAACATCACCGACTCTCAGCTCGTGCTGGTGGAAGATGCCTCCGTCTGGGACACCAACGCAGTTATACTTAAGGTATCTTACTGCTTCACCACCGCGTGGTTAGCGGTCAGACGTCTTATACCGCCGCAGGGTCCAGTGTCCGAATTGTGATTGAAACCAACATTCCTGCGAAAAAGTTGGTTTACACATTGATATGTTGTTTTTTTTTAAATTTAACGTAATAGAAATTTACACTGTTACAGTTTTACTACTAATTGCGAAATTGCTCAGCAGTTTGTTGGCAGAAAAAAGCTGTCTTATTTTATAACATGCAAAAAAATAGCTTAATACAAAGATACTACCTCAAATATAACAATCCAATAGTATCAATATAACATTAATCAGTAATTTAAATAACAATAGCATTTTATTACTTGACAGAGGCCATTGACCCTTATCGTCGGGAACATTCTTGTGCAACGTGATGCAATATATAACTATCTGTCGTAACGATAATTACTGCGTAAGGACTTTAAATGATGCCACTTAAGTGGTCCTAAAAGATGCGCTGTTCACGCCCTTAGCTGCCCCGACAAAGGTCGACCGTACCAGGGTCCAAGAGTGGTAGTCGCGATGGGCAACCAAGCAAGCACAACTTACCGATTTCCGGAGGTAGGGTTGATCACAGGGTACCAGTCAGGTAGTAAGTGATGTGCATGTAAGTAGTGTGTAGTAGTGTGTACAATGTAACCTGACTTAACCGTTGAAGTCGGACTGCATATCCACAAGCGCTGCTTCTCTCCAAAAGTGAGATCTCTCAAAGGGGGCGATCACCAATTGAAAGCTTCTGCTTTCACTTCAGTGTATTCGTTTATCAACTTTATTGTACATTTAATTAACTTCAAAGTCAACCAAATCAACGTTCATTGGAATTAAATCAAGTGACACTCGACACAAGTAAAGAACAGTAGGTCAAAGGTCAATACTCAAATTTACGGGTTCACTCAGCACAGAATTACAAACACGGGAACGAACGCGGTCTCTTCTTGAGTCACAAAGTTCAGCGTTCTCCCAAACAAGCCAAATTCTTTCGTACGATATTAAATGCCACAAAGCAACTAGTCGAATCAAATTAACGTCAATCAAAGTTAAGTTAATAACTCAACCCAATACAAGCCTCCCGTCACGAAACGTACAACTCAGACAAATCAATTCGAGGCGGTCTACACGAGACCCAAATATTCAATAGTAAATTAGGTGCGCACAATTTACTCAAATTCTAGACCGTCAAAAAATCTAAACCGGCCGCACGCAACCAACCCAGTGGTCGCAAAACAATACTATACCATGGCCCGCGCGTCGAGCTACTGCCGCGCACACGCGTCCGGCGCTCGCGCCCTCTGCCGAGCGACCCACACGGGAGAGGGGGCGATGGTGACCTCTAAATTCAATCGGAAGGACGCGCGTGTTGAATGCAAACTGCAAATGCCAATATTTGGCCTAAACACGCGCGGTTGGTTGTCGCGGAATCGGTCGTAAATTTTACTAGCAAATAGAATAAGTTGTGTCGTTGATGGTCGCGCGAATTATGAAAAAAAGCACAGTTAAAAAATAATGATATTTCATATCGTTGGTAAATCAAAAAATATGGTATTATTATGGCATTTTGTTTTAGAATTGTCCATATCATCGTTCAAATTAGTTCTAACAGGTGGCGCTAGTTTTTTAATAGAGAAAACGTGTCGCGCAATTGTCTGAAGGATTATACTTTACTATTAAATCAATGGGTCTCAACGTTTTGTGATTATTTCGTGTTTATAATCCTTTATTCTCCTTATCACACGGACGTTACATTGGTCACCGCACACTAGTGATCAGCATAGTTTTTTTCGAAATATTTATTCCAGACGTGTATTTCTCACGATGTTTTTCTTCTACGCCGATCACGTAGTTAATAAGCACGTAACATTTCAGAGACGCCAGGGACAATCCTATTCCGATCGCTCGCATGCTAAGAAATTTAAGGCGAGTGAGGAAGACTCAGACAAACAGAAGTCTATTTTTATTTTGTTTTGGTGGAGCAACGCTGAAGCTATATTAGGGCTGTAGCACGAATGGGTCGGCTCGACTAGAGATGAACTACGCTGTCACAGAATACCAGTGTAAAATAGTAGCTTAATGTTGCTGTGTTTCGTATGGTGGGTGTAGAGAACCGGAGGTTCTTTTTACTAGATCCAGTAAAAACGGCAAGGGGTGACAACGCATTTCAATTTTGGTTTTTAATCGAGGATAAATGTACATGTCTATGAGCCACGGCATCCACTTACCATCAGGTGGGCTGTGTGCTCGTTTATCACCGTATAAAATAACGTGCATTATGTGGTGCGTGTGCGCAGAGCTCGACAGTGCTGCGGTACAACGGCGCGGACGTGGAGCGGCCGGTGCGCTGCGAGCTGGGCGAGCTGGAGCTGTTCTCGTGCGTGCTGGGCCTGGAGGACGAGACGGCGCTCGCCATCGTCGAGCCCGCCGCGCTGCACGCACACCTCGACACCCACCGCCGGCTACATGTAACTACCCCTGCTCTGTTATTGGACTTTAACCCTTATTGTAATAGTAATAAATTCACATTTTAAAGTGATTTTAAAAAAAAGAAGATATCAATTATATAGGTTTTTTTTAGTACAGAGTTTAATAGAATACACGTATTTAAATATAATATACATACATACATACATACATATAATCACGCCTCTTTCCCGTAGGGGTAGGCAGAGACCAGTTCTTTCCACTTGCTACGATCCTTACATACTTGTTTTGCTTCGTCCACTTTCATTATTCCCTTCATACATGCTCTACGGTTTAGGGTACTCTTGACCTGGCCTTTTTTCAAGACGTCCCTGATTTGGTCTAGAAATGTCCGCCTAGGTCTACCCCTTCCAACACTTTCATTCACACTCGCCTTATACACTTTTTTCGTCAATCGTTCTTCATTCATTCTCTCGACATGGCCAAACCATCTCAGCATACCTTTCTCAATTTTTGTCACTACATTTTCTTTCAGACCACAACGTTTCCTTACCTCACTATTTCTTAGCCTGTCACTCAGTTTAACTCCTATCATACTTCTTAATGCTCTCATCTCAACTGCATTTATTCTGCTTTCATGTTTCTTCTGCCATACCCAACTTTCACTTCCGTACATGAGTGTCGGAACCAACACCCCCTCATGCACAGCCAAACGAGCCTTGTTAGACACCTTCCGACTGCTCATAAAGGAGTGCAAAGCTCCATTCACCATGTTTCCTGCATTCACTCTTCTTTCGATATCACTCTCACACTTTCCATCTCTTGTAAACTTTGAACCCAGATACACAAACTCTTTCACCTGTTCAATTTGTTCATCTTCAATCACGATATTGCAGTCTGTCACTGTCTCATCTTTTTCAAACACCATAACTTTCGTCTTCCTTACATTCATCTTCATTCTCTTTCTAATAAAAGCTCCACTCATAGCAGTTACCATCTCCTGCAACTCCTCGGCCGAAGACGCAAGTAATACTTGGTCATCAGCATAGAGAAAACATTTGACGAGTAACTCATTCATTCTCAACCCACTTTCATTCTCTTTTAAATCTGTCAAACAATTGTCCATGAACAGATTAAACAGCCACGGTGACGCTACACATCCCTGTCTAACACCTTTTTCGATATTAAACCATTCAGTGTATGCCCCGTTTATCCTTACACAAGCACTAGAATCCCTATAAAGAGATTGCATTGCTCGTATGAGGATACTGCTCACACCGTTCACGGACAGTGCTGACCACAATTCATTCCTCACCACTCTATCATAGGCCTTTTCTAGATCTACGAACGCGCAGTAGACTTTCTTGTTTTTAGCCAAATACTTTTCGGCTATGCACCGCAAGGAAAAGACCTGATCCGTACATCCCATTCCCTTTCTAAATCCCGCTTGTGCATCCCATACTTTCTTGTCTGTTTCATTCACAATCCTTTCAATCAACACTTTCGCATACAATTTACCGACGACGCTGAGAAGGCTTATACCGCGGTAATTTATGCAGTCCTGCCGTGACCCTTTTCCCTTATACAATGGCACGATTACGGCTTTGCACCAGTCTCCCGGTACTTGCCCATTTCGCCAGCACAGATTGAAAAGGCGGTACAGCTGACTAGCCACCAGGCCCTGTCCAGCCCTCAGCATCTCGACGGTAATCCTGTCATACCCTGCAGCCTTACCTAATCTCATACTTTTCAACGCTTTCACTATTTCAGCCATGCTTATCTCATTTTCATCAACATTTATATTAGTTTCCGTGGAAGGTGGCAGATGCTGTACCTGCACTTCCTCTCTTTCAAACAAACTTTCAAAATACTCTTTCCATCTCTTTAACACACATTCTTCTCCTTTTATAATGCTCCCATCTTGACTCCTGATTGTACTCAGCTCAGAGGTAGAAGTTTTTCCTCTGGCTGTTTTGATGGTTTTCCAGAAAAACTTAATGTTTGACTGGAAATCTTCAGTGAGCCTCCTATCGAAATCATCCTTTCGTTCTTCTTTCTTTCTAGACACAATTTCTTTCGCTGCTGTTTTCAATCTTTTATACTTCGTTCTTGCTTCCTTTATCTCGTCATCCGTTGCCTTTTGAACTTTTTGGTTAGCTTTTGTTGCTAACCAATCCAACCACGCTTTCTTCTTTTCTTGCACAACCTTTTGTACATCTTTATCCATCCACACGTTATCATTCTTTCTTCCTTTCCTTCTTTTAGCTACCCCGCATACCTCGATAGCAACATTTACGACCCCTTTCTTAAATGTCTCCCACAAATCTTCAATCACTCCTATCTCTTCTATCCCTTTAAAACTTTCTTTCAGTTTCTCTACATACTCGTCTTTCTTTTCTTCTTCTTGTAGATTTTCCACTTTTACTCTGTCCAAAACACTCGTAGGCTTGGCCACTCGGTGTCGCCACCGTTTAAAGAGTCCACGCATTCGGGCTATGACCAGGAAGTGGTCTGTGTCGAGGCCTACACCGCGGTATGCCCGAGTGTCTAGCACTTTCTTCCTCAGTCTTTCATCCACAATTACAAAATCAATCATACTTCTAGACTCACCCTCATCTCTTGTATACAAATGGATCTTTTTGTGGTCAAACATTGTGTTGGCCACGCACAGATTCCATTCCAAGCATACTTCAAGCAGGCTTCTCCCATTGTCATTCACTCTCTCGTCCCCAAACGTACCCAGAACTCCTTCATACCCATCACGCTTTACTCCAACCCATCCATTAAAGTCCCCTAACATCACGATCCGTTCATTTTCTCCGCATTTATTCAAGACCTCTCTCATGCTATCCCAAAATTCCTCTCTCTCTTGTTGTGTTTTTATGGACCCACCTCCACGCAGATCCGTTGGTGCATAGACCCCAAGGATAAACAAGCGAGTGAGTCCGACTTTTAACCTAATCCAGAGGAGTCTTGGACTTATACATTCATGCTCCATCACACATTCAACCATTCGAGATGAAAGAATCACACCAACTCCCTGACAGCCTCGGCTGGTTTGGGGGACTCCCGACCAGTATGCCGTGTAGGGGCCATGAACCGTGGTGTCACATCCTTTCCTCTTGGTTTCGTTCACGCACAGAATATCAATGCAACGATCATCCATCATCTGACATACTTCATCTACCTTACCATCCATTCCTCCTCTTACATTCAACGTAGCGAAGCGGCTCTCCGTGGGCCGCTTTTCGCCCCCGCGAGAAACGAGACGTGATGGGTGGCGAACCACATCGCCGCCATTTTGGTTAATTAAATTATTTTTATGACTATCCATTGCGTTCCCACGAATAGCGAGGGAAAGGTTTGTCCCCCCCAGCAGAGCCCCGCATGCCAGGGTAAGGCTAGCCTAATTCTGGGGTCGCCCGGTCCCAGGGCAGTGTAGCACGCTAACGACTAGGCTCGCCCCTAGCCATGCATCCATCCGCGCGGCAGACGTTGGATTGGCGGAGGGTAGGAATAGGAAAAGGGGAATGATAGGTGGTGTGAAAAGGAAGAGTAAAGTAAGTTAGGGTAGGAAATAGGAAATGTAGGATATTACCGTCCAGGAGGGCACGGGATAGGACAGTAATAGCTAGGGAAGCCGGGGTCGCATACCCGTATACCATACCACAACTACCGGACAGGTAAATTGGGATGAGTATCCCTCGACTATTATTATTATATATAATATAGATTACAAATAATACTTACTGAAGTTCATTATGATTTTATCAATGATTCAAATCGTGTAATGACTATGTAAGAATATCCACTACCCGTATCGTCCCATGGGTGTCGTAAGAAGATCATCCTGATAATCTAAATAAAAAAATAAAAAAGCTATGGTTGACAACCCGCTTGCCAAGCGTGGCAACTATGACAAATATCCCTGTAATGAAAATCTACAGGAAAGGCCTATGTACAGCAGTAGACTTTTGATAGGCTGCTATGGCAATGGTTACCCAATGGTTCGGAAAAACAGAGTCTCATAAGGGTCAAGGTGTAGGAATTTTTGTGTATTAGATAATTCTAATGCGTTAATGTCATATTTTGTTATATTGATTTTTTGTTTACACAAACATTAGTTGAATTTGAACGCCGTAAAATACTTGAAATAAGTTTCATTCAAAGGATATTTTTTTTTTAGATTTCAATGGGAACATTAAATTTACGGCTGTCATATCATGACATGCGCATGTTTGCCGCAATGCTGCAATCATTACCGGCGCAAGTTAGAGCAGCGCTTTCTGGTAAGTTATCGTTTAATTAGTATAAGTTATTGTTTCAGCCCAATGTTAAGTTCATAAAACAAAGTCAATTTCTTATAACTTTATTAGTTTTTAAGTCCTATGCTGCAGTTGTTATTTCCATGTCGAGCGAATTCGTTTTGAGCGAATAATAAACATACTTTCTATTTCTATCTGCTTAAGAGCAGACTTCACCTTATTGGCCGAGTCCTCGTTACAGTATGATGGAAAATCTGCCGAAAACTCTGATTGAAATAGAAGATAGGCAACAGCATTTTTGATAACTGCTTAGAATAATAAAAAATTACAATTTCCAACTCGCCCGTCGCCCGTCGTCCGTCGCCAAGCGTGGCCTGGTGTTTTGGCAGACTGTATGAATGAAAGTATAGCAGCTAAACATTTCATAACTATGTTTGCGGAAATTTGGATGAATTTTATGTAAAATTATTTTGTTTTTGTGTATAATGCAATGGTGGTGTAATGTCGGACGTGTTGTTCCTTCTAAGACTTTAATTAGAGTACTGTTCTGTAGTGAGTATATTGTAGTGGGTGCTACACTATATCATTGTGGTAATGTCGCGTGTGCTGGTGTGCAGGTAAATCTGAAGAGGAGATAGCAGCGGACGCGCCCGCCAACAGCGTGCACATGCGGGCGGGCGCTGCGGGCGCTGCGGGCGCGGCGCGGCTGCTGGCGGCGCGCTGGGGCCGCGCCCCCGCCCCCGCGCCCGCGCCCGCCCCCGCGCAGCCCTCCGCCGTGTGGCCGCTGAGCGCGCTGCAGGTCAGACCACTTGCACTTAAATATATTTTTTATAAAATTAAAGTGATAAACGGAATTACAATCCACCTGATTGTAAGTGGCTACTGCAGCCCATAGACACCTTTTTTTATAGGAGAGGGAGCAAACGAGCATACGGCTCACCTGATGGTAAGTGCCTACCGACGCCCATGAACAACTGCAACACCAAGGGTTTTGCAGATGCATTGCAGGCCATTTAAAAAAGAGTTGACTCTTTTCTTAAAGCCAACTTTATACAAAGAAGGCTACAGAGGCGTTGTCAGGGCTCCGTCACCCGCTCAAGGTCTCACGCTGCATTCATACTCGTTATCGCAGTCCCGGGAGTACAATTATCAGTAGGATGTCGCACGCTCTAATGAGTAATTTAATTTACCTTAAATAATACCATTTTTAAATAAATACTCTTAACCACAATGAATAAAATTATCATAATATCTGAATCATAATTTATTAAAATTTGTCTTAATACTTATCATGAATGAAAATATATTTTTAACTTTGTTTCTAATTTAAATGACCCAAATATGGGAAAAAAATATAAAAAATAAAGAAAACTAAACTTCAAGGGTTAATTTTAATAACAGAGAATTCAGAGAAGAAAATAAAACATATTTGATTATCAAACAAATAAAAAGAATTTTTATTATTTCTATTCTTTTTTATCATCTTTGTATAACTCTCCGCGTTCGCTCGATGACGCAATCCTACGAAGGTGGCACGGTGGCTTGCAACTAATGTCTGGATGCAGCTACTAAATTTTTTGGGATATAATAACGTAGGTATTTTCGCTTTTGTATGGAAGAAATGTGTCTTTTACGTAGTAACATTATTTAATCTGTGGCGTTGTCACATGTTTAAACATCTTAAGCGCATCTCTTAATTGTTAGTTCTTCTCGACGTAAATTTTTTAAGAAAAAAGAAGTACACAAACTGCTGTTGCTAACGATCCTGTCAAGTGTGACAGTTATGCCAAATATCCCCTCTATCAGGCAATCTTTATAGGAGTTATGATGATAAAGTAAAATATTTCTAGGTATTATTGATTTGAAGCGTACTTTTTGTCATCTTATGGTATTTTTTTAATTAAATAATTTAAATGAAACAAAATATTTTAAAAATTCTTAAGAATTTAGATATTAACAAATTAATGTAAAATATCAAAATATTTACGTGTTCTTAATGTGTACTTACGTGTCAGGTGGACGCAGACTGCGTTACGCTGTGCGTTATCGACGATTGTCTGGACTCGGACGTGCCGCTCCTGGAGATATCCATGTCCGAATTACACCTTGATCAGGTAAATGTATTTTTCTGTCTAAATTTAAATCTTTATCGTGTAATGGCGGTGTAAGAATATCGACTACCATATATCATCGTGTAGGTGTCGTAAGAGGCGATAGAGGGATGGAATGAAATGGTAATAGGATTTAAATATATGTTAAATTATTTTTTTGTTGAGTCTATAATATTTTTCTTGTGTGATAGGACTTAAGAAAAGTGGAGGAGTCGTTCCCGGACCCGGTGCTGGTGTCGACGCCCGGCAGCGGGGCGGGCAGCGTGGCGGGGAGCGGGGCGGGCAGCGGGGCGGGGAGCGGGGCGGGCGGCGGGCTGCTGCGTGCGCAGCTCAGTGTCGACTACTACAATCGCACGCTTTCCGCCTGGGAGCCTGCGCTGGAACCTTGGAGGTCTTTCATACACATTTTCATCATCGCCATTACTTATCACCACTTATCGATTTATTAATCACCATTACTTATCGATTTCTCTATCTTTAATTAATTAATGATTGCGTTTTACAATTAAGTTGGATTTTTAGTCATTATTTGATTTGTTTTTATCGTATACCATAGTCTAAGTTTCTTTTGACGTATCTGGCTTATGCAGGACCACCAAAAATTGTACGGAATGTCGTTATAGTGTTGTAGTTTATGTTAAGATTGATTTATCTATACAAATAAATAAAATTGAAGTGTCTGTTTGTAATGTCAAAATTACAGTTTTTTACTAAATGCATATGAAAGTAAATACGATACCTATAACTAAAATACAATTTTTAAAATTTTTGTCTGTCTGTCTGTCTGTCTGTTTGTTCCGGGTAATCTCCGAAACGGCTGGACCGATTTTGACGGGACTCACTGGCAGATAACTGATTTCATAAGGAGTAAAATAGGCTACTTTTATTTTAGAAAAATAATCAGGGTTCCGCGCAGAAACATAAAAACACTAACACGCGAACGAAGTCGCGGGGAACAGCTAGTAAATTAATATTTTGTCTCATAAATTGTTTAATCTTTAGCGGATAAACTGGTGCATATAAAATGTTCTTACTTTTCAAAAATTAATTATATTAGACAAAGAGTGGTAATCGTACATCGTTTGGTTGACAAGTGAGATGACATTGTGAATTTGCTTTGAGAAGCATATGAGCGCCTGCTGACGATCTGAAGGCAATCATTCATTCGCGCATTTCACACTTAAATCACTTAAATATATCATGCAAAACCGATTATAAGTTGTTCAATAAGGTCTTTCAAAATAATTAAATTTAAATTGAATATTACACTAGAAATGCATTATTATCATCCTATAGTGTCAATGTTTTAGCCATTTCCGTATATTGGATATAAGTACAGTGAAAAGACATTGCGCTCGTCAGTTTTACAGATTGAATAGTCAGGTATTGGTAATTTTTTAACCGATTCGGCAATTTTTATTGTTTTAGTGAAAAAAACTGTTTAAATTTTTGTTCATTTTTTTAACGTATCAATTTCTAATTCGTTTTTCTACACGTTGTTTTGAGTTAATTTGTTTGAAGGAGAAAATAATTTTATTAATATTAATAATTAGGTTCGAGACGAAGTGGGAGTACACGTTGTCAACGTCGCTGTCGCTGCGGCGCTTGCAAGTGGACGTGAGCAGCTCAGAGACCCTGGACGTGAACGTGACGAGCGCAGCGCTCGAGCTGTACCGCCTCGTGCGCAGCAACTGGACAACTGACTACTGCGCGCCGCAACTCGGCACGCAGCAAGTGGAGGTGAGTGAACGTGACGGTGACGGTGACGGTGACGGTGAAGGTGAAGAGCTGTAGCTGTACCGCCTCGTGCGCAGCAACTGGACAACTGACTACTGCGCGCCGCAGCTCGGCACGCAGCAAGTGGAGGTGAGTGAACGTGACGGTGACGGTGACGGTGACGGTGAAGAGCTGTAGCTGTACCGCCTCGTGCGCAGCAACTGGACAACTGACTACTGCTCGCCGCAGCTCGGCACGCAGCAAGTGGAGGTGAGTGAACGTGACGGTGACGGTGACGGTGACGGTGAAGAGCTGTAGCTGTACCGCCTCGTGCGCAGCAACTGGACAACTGACTACTGCGCGCCGCAGCTCGGCACGCAGCAAGTGGAGGTGAGTGAACGTGACGGTGACGGTGACGGTGACGGTGAAGAGCTGTAGCTGTACCGCCTCGTGCGCAGCAACTGGACAACTGACTACTGCGCGCCGCAGCTCGGCACGCAGCAAGTGGAGGTGAGTGAACGTGACGGTGACGGTGACGGTGACGGTGAAGAGCTGTAGCTGTACCGCCTCGTGCGCAGCAACTGGACAACTGACTACTGCGCGCCGCAGCTCGGCACGCAGCAAGTGGAGGTGAGTGAACGTGACGGTGACGGTGACGGTGACGGTGAAGAGCTGTAGCTGTACCGCCTCGTGCGCAGCAACTGGACAACTGACTACTGCGCGCCGCAGCTCGGCACGCAGCAAGTGGAGGTGAGTGAACGTGACGGTGACGGTGACGGTGACGGTGAAGAGCTGTAGCTGTACCGCCTCGTGCGCAGCAACTGGACAACTGACTACTGCGCGCCGCAGCTCGGCACGCAGCAAGTGGAGGTGAGTGAACGCGACGGTGACGGTGACGGTGAAGAGCTGTAGCTGTACCGCCTCGTGCGCAGCAACTGGACAACTGACTACTGCGCGCCGCAGCTCGGCACGCAGCAAGTGGAGGTGAGTGAACGCGACGGTGACGGTGACGGTGACGGTGAAGAGCTGTAGCTGTACCGCCTCGTGCGCAGCAACTGGACAACTGACTACTGCGCGCCGCAGCTCGGCACGCAGCAAGTGGAGGTGAGTGAACGCGACGGTGACGGTGACGGTGAAGAGCTGTAGCTGTACCGCCTCGTGCGCAGCAACTGGACAACTGACTACTGCGCGCCGCAGCTCGGCACGCAGCAAGTGGAGGTGAGTGAACGCGACGGTGACGGTGACGGTGAAGAGCTGTAGCTGTACCGCCTCGTGCGCAGCAACTGGACAACTGACTACTGCGCGCCGCAGCTCGGCACGCAGCAAGTGGAGGTGAGTGAACGCGACGGTGACGGTGACGGTGAAGAGCTGTAGCTGTACCGCCTCGTGCGCAGCAACTGGACAACTGACTACTGCGCGCCGCAGCTCGGCACGCAGCAAGTGGAGGTGAGTGAACGCGACGGTGACGGTGACGGTGACGGTGACGGTGAAGAGCTGTAGCTGTACCGCCTCGTGCGCAGCAACTGGACAACTGACTACTGCGCGCCGCAGCTCGGCACGCAGCAAGTGGAGGTGAGTGAACGCGACGGTGACGGTGACGGTGAAGAGCTGTAGCTGTACCGCCTCGTGCGCAGCAACTGGACAACTGACTACTGCGCGCCGCAGCTCGGCACGCAGCAAGTGGAGGTGAGTGAACGCGACGGTGACGGTGACGGTGAAGAGCTGTAGCTGTACCGCCTCGTGCGCAGCAACTGGACAACTGACTACTGCGCGCCGCAGCTCGGCACGCAGCAAGTGGAGGTGAGTGAACGCGACGGTGACGGTGACGGTGACGGTGACGGTGAAGAGTTGTAGCTGTACCGCCTCGTGCGCAGCAACTGGACAACTGACTACTGCGCGCCGCAGCTCGGCACGCAGCAAGTGGAGGTGAGTGAACGCGACGGTGACGGTGACGGTGAAGAGCTGTAGCTGTACCGCCTCGTGCGCAGCAACTGGACAACTGACTACTGCGCGCCGCAGCTCGGCACGCAGCAAGTGGAGGTGAGTGAACGCGACGGTGACGGTGACGGTGACGGTGACGGTGAAGAGCTGTAGCTGTACCGCCTCGTGCGCAGCAACTGGACAACTGACTACTGCGCGCCACAGCTCGGCACGCAGCAAGTGGAGGTGAGTGAACGCGACGGTGACGGTGACGGTGACGGTGACGGTGAAGAGCTGTAGCTGTACCGCCTCGTGCGCAGCAACTGGACAACTGACTACTGCGCGCCGCAGCTCGGCACGCAGCAAGTGGAGGTGAGTGAACGCGACGGTGACGGTGACGGTGAAGAGCTGTAGCTGTACCGCCTCGTGCGCAGCAACTGGACAACTGACTACTGCGCGCCGCAGCTCGGCACGCAGCAAGTGGAGGTGAGTGAACGCGACGGTGACGGTGACGGTGACGGTGACGGTGAAGAGCTGTAGCTGTACCGCCTCGTGCGCAGCAACTGGACAACTGACTACTGCGCGCCACAGCTCGGCACGCAGCAAGTGGAGGTGAGTGAACGCGACGGTGACGGTGACGGTGACGGTGACGGTGAAGAGCTGTAGCTGTACCGCCTCGTGCGCAGCAACTGGACAACTGACTACTGCGCGCCGCAGCTCGGCACGCAGCAAGTGGAGGTGAGTGAACGCGACGGTGACGGTGACGGTGAAGAGCTGTAGCTGTACCGCCTCGTGCGCAGCAACTGGACAACTGACTACTGCGCGCCGCAGCTCGGCACGCAGCAAGTGGAGGTGAGTGAACGCGACGGTGACGGTGACGGTGACGGTGACGGTGAAGAGCTGTAGCTGTACCGCCTCGTGCGCAGCAACTAGAGCGCGGAATTAAAATAAAGTAAGGGTTTATACATCCTTAGGATACGTGCTAAGGCATGAGAGGTACGAACTCCTAAAACTCATTTGGATGGAAAAAGTTGTCGAAAGAAAAAAATATGGTTATGTAACATCCGGTAGTAGACGGAAAATGCGAGTGCCGCTGAACTTTTTCGCTTCGCGAAGAATAGTAGAGCGGACTTCACTAAGCTGAGTGCCAACCTTCGCTAGTCGGAGAGGCATCTGAAGAAGAGGAAAGAATTAGTCTTAGATAGATTAACACGTCTCTCATTGACACCTTTTCACATTACATGGCGACCGTGCTAGGCGGGGTGTTAAAACAATAATTAATAAAAATATTTTTGCTTTCACATTTTTGCTTTCACATTTTTGCACTTTTATTGGTTTAAAATATAATGATATCTAACTGGAATTAGATAATAATGTATGTTTGTGCGTTTGCAGTCGTCGGGCGCTATGGAGCAGTCCCCGAAGGGCAGTCCGGCGGGGCACCGGCGCCGCTCGCCCTTCGTGCCGTACGCGCTGCGCAACAACACCGGACAGCGCCTGTGGTTCACCACGCTGCCCACCACTTCCGATGAGTCAGTGTCTTCATATTTTATCATAATATTGGAAAACTTACATCAAAAAATATCAAGTAATACATTAAGAAAAACACGTGCGCAGTTCACACGCGGTAGAAGTGGAACTTTCAGAAAAGGAGACTCATATAATAGGAAACACTGTATATTGTATTTTATCTCATTCTCTAGCAGTTTAAATTTTATAGATTCTTCTTCGTCTTTTTTAGTGTCTCTTTTTCGTTTCATCGTGTTTCAAATCACAACGATTCTAAGAAGTTTTCACTTCAATTGGAGGAAGAAGGCTAATTACAAGTTTAAAATGATTTCTTGAATTTGCGAGAACTGTTTTTGATTTGTTTCAAATTTTCTATAGAAGTTTTATCTTTTATAACATCATATAATAGGTACTTGTACTACATGTGTGTAAATTCTGGGGCACGGCTGTATACAATTTGACACAGGTGGTTTGTATTACGCAGACTGCTGGAGCTGGAGTGGGAGTGTGGGGGCGCGGCGAATGAGGGTGCGGCGGAGGACCTGGGGTCTCTGGGCGCGGTGGGCGCGGCGCCGGACGACTCGTGGGTGTGCGTGCGCGGCGGCGACACGGAGCCGTTCTCGTTCGGGCAGCGCCGTGGCCGCGCTCGTGCTGCGCCGCACCGCCTGGCGCTGCGCCTGGACGCCTGGACGCCGCCGGACCCGCTACGTGTCGACCGTGTCGGCGTCTTCTTCCGAACCCTCACGCACCAGGTGCCTCACCCTTGTCACAGACGACACGGAGCCGTTCTCGTTCGGGCAGCGCCGCGGCCGCGCTCGTGCTGCGCCGCACCGCCTGGCGCTGCGCCTGGACGCCTGGACGCCGCCGGACCCGCTACGTGTCGACCGTGTCGGCGTCTTCTTCCGAACCCTCACGCACCAGGTGCCTCACCCTTGTCACAGACGACACGGAGCCGTTCTCGTTCGGGCAGCGCCGCGGCCGCGCTCGTGCTGCGCCGCACCGCCTGGCGCTGCGCCTGGACGCCTGGACGCCGCCGGACCCGCTACGTGTCGACCGTGTCGGCGTCTTCTTCCGAACCCTCACGCACCAGGTGCCTCACCCTTGTCACAGACGACACGGAGCCGTTCTCGTTCGGGCAGCGCCGCGGCCGCGCTCGTGCTGCGCCGCACCGCCTGGCGCTGCGCCTGGACGCCTGGACGCCGCCGGACCCGCTACGTGTCGACCGTGTCGGCGTCTTCTTCCGAACCCTCACGCACCAGGTGCGTCACCCTTGTCACAGGCGACACGGAGCCGTTCTCGTTCGGGCAGCGCCGCGGCCGCGCTCGTGCTGCGCCGCACCGCCTGGCGCTGCGCCTGGACGCCTGGACGCCGCCGGACCCGCTACGTGTCGACCGTGTCGGCGTCTTCTTCCGAACCCTCACGCACCAGGTGCGTCACCCTTGTCACAGGCGACACGGAGCCGTTCTCGTTCGGGCAGCGCCGCGGCCGCGCTCGTGCTGCGCCGCACCGCCTGGCGCTGCGCCTGGACGCCTGGACGCCGCCGGACCCGCTACGTGTCGACCGTGTCGGCGTCTTCTTCCGAACCCTCACGCACCAGGTGCGTCACCCTTGTCACAGGCGACACGGAGCCGTTCTCGTTCGGGCAGCGCTGCGGCCGCGCTAATGACGCGCCGCACCGCCTGGCGCTGCTATTTGATTAATTATTTTACGGCCAATTATTTTTTGCGTCATTTCTTGCAACCAGCGTTTGGGCGCGACCCAAACGCTGGTTGCAAGAATTGACGCCAGAGGGCGCTCGACTCGATACGGCGCGTTCATAACCGGTTAGACGTGTGGGCGGTTAACGGGAGTTTTGTTGCCAGCGGGCCGCGTACGGGGATTGCAGGCAGTTGGTTGCTACCGGCGGCTGGGTCGAGTCGAACAGTAACTTGAGTGCCGCGGCGCCGTCGCCACGTAACGTATTTGTGGTGTTTCGTGCGACCAGTTTTGGCTTTTGGGTCTAGATTTTTAGTATTTGTGCGCGTTACTTCGCTACTTAATTTGTGGTTTCGTGAAAACCGCTTCGGTTTAATTGTCTAAGCTATAAGTTCGTGAAGAAGCAGTGATAATTTGATTGATTAACCTAAATTCGTTGGCAAGTAATTTACGTAACTTGTAGTGATTGCCGGTTGAAGTGCTTTACAATAATACTTTGCGTCGAGTAGTTACTCGTGTGGCATTTGATATATTTCGGAGACATTTTCCGTTGTCGGTTGAACGCTGAACTTTGTGACTCTAGAGAAGGTCGTGTTCGGTTCTAGAAATAATTTGTTGCCACCTGAAACGGAATTGAACTTTCATCCGCCCATTCGGTATTCGTGCCGTGTATTATGTTTTTGATTATAAGTAACGGGACTTAGTTGAGTTTTGAAGTTAGTTAAATGTACAATAAAGTTGATAGACTGAATTAGTGAATTGAGGACAGAAGTTGTTAATTCGTGATCGCCCACTTTTGAGAGATCTCACCTTTGGAGTAGTGGCAGCGCCGCTGGATCTGCGGTCAGACTTCCAAGGCTAATTCGGGTTAAACATACATACACTTCTCATACACTACTTACATTCACCACACCTGACACCTGAACGAGCCTTGGGGTTCTTCTTCGCTTCTGAAGCAGGTAAGTCAAGTAAATTAAGTACCTAATCATATATCTCAAATATCCATAGGAATTTGGGCCCCGTCCTTAGTTATCCGTCGAGTACAGCTGTATGGGCCCCTATATAGTCGACCTTTATCGGGACAGCTAGGGGCGTGTACAATGTTAATGCAAGAAGCCAATATATAACTGATATTTTTATCTTTATGTAATGGACTCCTACTATTAAAAATTGTATTGTAAAGTATACAATATGTTGATGCATCCATTTCTTTTTTTGGTAAATTTAAAGGGCAGCTTGATAATCGACGACGACAGTCGATCTTACAGTTCACATCACCAACGGCGCACTTGTTTTATCGTTTCCACTAATAGTTTACTTGCGCAAATATTTAATACACAAAATGACACCACATTTACGTATCTACTTCAAAACATACATAGACAGTTACAGGAGCATCAATCCGCCACCGGTCAAGTTCCTGCTAAAACTCTAATGGCGATATGGTTGCAGAAGAGCGGTGCAGAGGCGCGGTTGGTGCTGGAAGTGTCGCTGGAGGGTTCTGCGCGCAAGTTGGTGACGGTCCGATCGGCGCTGCAGCTGGTGAATCACTTACCGCACCCCGTTGAAGTGCGTCTACACAGCGCTCCGTCGCCAGGTAACACTCTTCACACACACACACGCGCGTTCACATACATATACACACATGATATACACTCGGCGATGTGCGCTTACACAGCGCACCGACGCCAGGTAAAGCTCCTTTACACGTACACACACGCACATGCTCGAACACATGCTCACACACACGCTCGCACTCACGCTTGTATATACGCACGCATGTGCCGAAGTGCGTCTACACACTGCACAGACGCACGCACATATACACACATACACATACACACGCACACATACTCGTCGATTTGCGCCAGCAACTGAGCCGTGGCTCCTACACTTGCATACTGACCCTCAGATATCACTATGTTCAGCCCTTTCTAACAGTGTCAGTGTATTAGTCCTAATACGGCCTACATCACTTGTGGGCTTGCCCAAATTTTCTAAAACTACAAGAGGAGATGTAAATTTATTCATTTAAAGTAGCTGATCTTTGTTCTATTTTTTAAAGTAACTCATCTTTGTTTCTTACTCAGTACAAATGCACAGAGTGCAGATTAAATGAATATTTAGCAGAAAAATTACATGTTATAGCTCCTTACGTCAAAGAAGCTGAGTAATCCCGTGGAATAGAATTTATATACTATTTCCATAGGTACCGTTATCGTTAGAGCCTATCTAAAGTCTATTGCTGAACATAGGTCTACCCCATACTCTACCTCGTAGGGGAGATATTTTCAATAGATGCGACGCTTGGCAAATGGGTTGGCCACCGCAGTTTATTTATGTTTAGTTTTTATTAGGAAGGCTCTGCTGCCCATTTCGTAGTTTGTTTCCCTTTGTTATCTCTTACAACACCCACTGGACGATACGTGATAAAGGATATTTTTATACCTCCACTTCATGTCACTTTATTACGAAGGTTCCTTTGGTAAGCCAATGATATTTTGGCGGGTTTATTTCAACCGCCGACAAGCTATTATACTTTCGAATAATCATAAGTTGTCGGTTGGGCAACAACCATCCAGTGCAACAAGTTACCTTCTACTACCTTCCCGTGCCCAATGTTACTAGAGGTAGAAACTTTAACATAATATTTTTTTATAAAAGAGGGGGCAAACGAGCATGCGGCTCACCTGATGGTAAGTGACTACCGCCACCCATGAACAACCGCAACACCAGGGGGATTGCAGATGTGTTGCCGGCTTTTTAGAAAGGTGTAAGCTTTTTTCTTGAAGGTCCCTAAGTCGTATCGGTCTGGAAAAATCGCCGGAAGAATCGTCCGGAAAAAACTCTTAGTTTAAAAATAATCTGATTATATACACTAGCTGATAGAAGTATCATATTATAGAACTGCGGCTTCTTTGTATCTGACATATATGTTGTTATATGTAATGTATCCAATCTCAATAACACGTCTTAGTGATGAAGCGAACGTTGCACCCGCTGGTAACTAGTATGTATATCAGATATCTTTGCATATATATTTTAGGTTATGTAATAACTAATCTGTTATGTAATGCTGTTGGTGTATCATCATAATAATATGTTGTGTCCAGACAAACGGGGACAGTCACAAAACTAAGTATGACCCAAAAATGTACGTGTTTTAAGTGTATTGATTAGTGTTTCTTTCTGAAATATTAGTTATATCATTAGTAATATGTTATATTAATTAGATTAGAAATGAATAAAAGAAATTACTAAATAAAGGATATTCCTAAAATTGGAAAAATTGCAAAAGAATATACCACTGTGGCATTATTTTGTGTATGTACATATTTTAGAAACCGAAAAACTTATTTTAAACGCAATTTTCCAATAATAATGACATTGTGAGCATCTGCGTACCAGACAAATTTACCTCCCAACTAGCGACATCTGGTGAGCGTAAGAATATAATTATATTTTTTTGTGTTTAAGAAACCAAAGTGAAATTGCGAATGGAATACAATTTCAATTTGGAAATAGTTATTGGTATTTTATCTGTGTGCATTGTATGTTGATTTGATGTTTTTCCAAATTTTATAATAAAATTTTGGGACTGACCAACAATTGACAGAAAGTTAATTGGATACACTAGTTATAAATGTGGTAGAGCCATAGGTCGGCTCGATTGAGGAAGGACCACGCTTTCACAGAATACTAACGTAAAATAGCAGCTCAATTCTGCTATGTTTCGTATTTTGAGTGTAGAGAACCGGAGACCTTTTTTAGGGTTTCGTAGTCGAAAGGTAACCAACGGAACCCTATTACTGTCTGTCAGCGGGATGTACCACATGATTCGTAATAGGTAGGTGGATTCGTAATCGAGGATAGATGTAGATGTCTATGGGCTACAGCATCCACTTACAGTTAGGACTGTGTGCTCGTTTGTCACTCTTATCGTATAAAAAAATCGAAATAATTAAGATAATTATTCAATGAGCGGTTAATACTTAGTATGTCGGTTGATAGAGCGTAAGAATATTAGCCCTAATTGACGGGTGCGACATTGTAGAGTGCACGCTAGCTGTTGGCGCGTTCGCGGGGTGCGGGGGGCGGGCGGCGCGGCGGCGGCGCGTGCGCGACGCGTGCGCGGCGCTGCAGCGGCGCGCCGCCGCGCCCCTCCCGTCCCTCTCGCCCGCCTGCCGCGCGCTCGCCGCAGCCGTGCCGCCGCTCCCGCCTACACGTAACGTGCCAACAGGCACACCTATCGTTTTCTGCAATTATTGTCATTCGTGTCGAATTCATTTTGAAAATGTTTATATTGAAATGTATTTCTAGCTTTAGTACATGTTATATCCTCGGACCAACAAAATCAAATCGGTTTGTGGGTGTGTCGTAGAAACGGCCGTGTGTTTTACGTAAATACGTGTATGTAACGAAACGACCTAAAAATGGCAGCGTTTCCCCCTCTGTCGCGCACGATGCGTCGCTGTCCTCACTTAACGTAACTAATTCTTTGATCGTGTAGCTATCGAGAGGTGTAATTAAATTTTGTATGTAGGTGATACATGTGTAGCGGCAACACCAAATTCTAACACCAATTTTGTTGTCATCAGTTTTCTGAATTACCTCCCACTATGGAAACAAATTTAAAACCGTACTCATATCAAAAGAAAGACGAAGCGCTAAGTACATTTTAAATGTAACCGAAACCATGTTTAACATCTTGACACGCAATCACACACATTTATTTCTTGTTTGTTTCTTCATCAACCCGTAAAAATTTACTGCTGACCGCACACATATTGTTATGTAATGTTTGCGAATGGTTTTAGATACATATGTATACGTAAGTATGTGTTCTTACAATAACTTAAGCGTAATTTTGTTTCACTTCGAACATCATATGTAATTTACGCAACGTTCCGTTTTTCTTTATTTGTTGGTCTGAGGTTGTATCATTGATTTTCATATCATATTTACAAAGTAATGATCGTGTGTTTCATTTGTAAAATACATCTTAATAGACAATTGTTATTTTTATATTTGTAAGTATTTAGGTGTATTTACAATGTACATTATTAACAATTTTTTGTATTTGTGACATAGAGTAAAAATGCTACAGATAATCTATATACATTATGAATAATATCGATAAGTAGATTATTTTTCTTAGAGTTTACTTAGAAATAAAAAGTATTGTTTTGTCATATAACTGTTCATGTGTTTTTGCAACGTACTGATCGATTGATGATTATATCATTGCTACAACCTAATATTAATTGTAGAAATAAACTATTTTGTTATTTGTTTCTTGTAATTGTGACGTAGCTACTTTTAAAATTCCTCTTTCTATTTTTATGTATAAAAACATTATTACTAAATGCAATATGTTCAAATAATCCTGCCCGATCCGAAAGGGGCACATGGGTGCCATTATTAAAATAATCCTGCCCGATCCGAAAGGCGCACATGGATGCCATCATTACATTGCCCAAACAAACTTAAAACATTATTATTACCTACATTTTTTTTTAATTAAATTTGCTCAAAACTTTTGCAAATTTTTAAATCTAGCAATAACATCGTCAGTGAGAGTGTTATTAAACGTGTTGGGTATTGTTTGTTACTGACCGTCGTCCGCAGGATAGTAATTAAATTTTATAATGCTGTTTCTAGGGTGATTGATTAAGGTTTTTAGTTTGTTTTAATAAAAAAAAAACGTTACCCCGCACTAGGATTTTCTCATGAATCGTGAAGGCAATTTACATACATAAATTGCACGAGGACAAATATCCAGACCCAGAAGAATTAGTTGTAGTTCATACAAATACTTGTTCTCTTGTTTGCGGGATTTGAACCCGTGGCTCACAGCGCCGTATTTCATTGCTAAACCACTGCGCAACGAAGCAGTCAAATTATATCATTAATCCATTAAAAACTAAAATAATATGAACAGAATCACATCTCGATACCTCACGCATCGAATAGGGTTTTTTTTACACATTAGTTATGTAATATAGTCAGACCGGACTAGTAAAATGTGTTGCTTGCGATTCCGCAGTGTCTTGGGGAAGCACGGGTGTTGCGGTTGGTGCGAGCGGGGGTCGGGGCGAGGTGGTGGCGGCGGGCGGGCGCTGGGCGGCGCCACTCTGTGCGCGGCCCGGCGCGCTGGCCGTGCGCCCGCTGCCGCCGCGAGCCCCGCGCCCGCCCGCCCTGCCGCCCGCCCTGCCCCTTGCCCTGCCGCCCGCCCTACTGCACTGGCGCGATGCCCCGGCAGATGGCGCGCTGCTGCACCGCGAATGTCGCGCGCCGCCCGACCACGTCTACAGGCAAGCCCTTACATGCATAGATACACGCTTGTACGTGCGCACGCACGTGCTCATACGCACTCTTATACGAACACGTACACGCCCGCACGCACATCTATACGAGCACGCATATGTACGTACGCACATGTACGCACAGTCACATTTTACCAGCATGTGGCGGTTTTATATTTATATTTTAATTTATATTTAACACATTTATAACACGTAGTTTGCTTAGGAGTAACCTCCTCTCATTTCTTGACATGTTGTGGATCAATTGAACACTTTAAATGTCCTCCACACAGTTTTTTCTTAAACATTTTTGTTTATCTTTATTGCCTCATAAAAATATATGTAAGTTACTTTATGCTAGAAGTATAAAGTAACATATTGTTTTTACACTTATAATTGCAACTTACATATTTCTTTGCCGAAGTACTCATCATCATTATCATTACAGCCTTTTACAAGTCCACTGCTGAACATAGGCCTCCCCCAAGGAATGCCACAAAGCACGGTCCTGAGCCACCTGCATCCATCGACTTCCTGCTTGCCAAGTCGTCACTCCATCTATCTTGATCATCTGCCACTCGAGAACCTTTTTTCCCCATCGGTTGTCGGTTCTTCAAGCTATATGGCTGGCCCATTGCCACTTCAGCTTACTAATCCGTTGGGCTATGTCAGTCACTCTAGTTCTATTGCGGTTATCCTTATTTCTAAGTTTATCACTATGTACTAGTACATAAGTACTAGTACTATTAAATAAACCAAGCGCTCAAATCCGTGCTTTTTTATAGAAGAGGGGGCAATCCAGCATGTGACTCATCTGATGGTAAGTGACTACCACCACCCATGAACAACTAAAAGGCCAATAGCAGGTGCGTTGCCGGCCTTTTAGAAAGAAGTACGCTCTTTTCTTGAAGAGCCTTAAGTCATATTGGTCCAAAAAAATCGCCGGCGTTAAACGATTCTATAGAGGACTTACGAGAAAGAAAACTCCTAGTAAAACGCACAGTGGTGGCCCGCCATGCCTTCAGATCTATCAAGGCTCACGGTTTATTTTCGTACTTAACCTAAGATCAGATCAACATAAAATGTGTATTGTGCAGGTTTTGCTGCGTGATAGTGCGGGAGCGATTCCCAGTAGAACGCGGAGAGCCGCTCGCCGGGCACACGCTGACGCTGGTGGCGGCGCTGCGCCTGGAGAACCTGCTGCCGCTCGAGCTGCAGTACCGCGTCGCTGACGTGTGCGGCACGCTGCCGCCAGCAGACACTAGGCCCTTCCACGAGGTATCCTCTTAAGAATTTTTTAGTTGTTTTGGGAGATGACTCCAAACTAGGTTACCCTATACTATCGGTCTCCTGACTCCCACACTTTATTACAATTCGATGATAAATATACCTAAACATGAAGTAAGCGTTGCATGTGAAGATCGAATATAACATTTCTAAAATGTAAATAACAATATAAGGCACATTGAATACATATATAGATAAAGGACAATTTTTTTGAAACCAGTCCTTAAAAAATAAAATAATGTTGTAACGTTATGACCAATGGTGGTTGTTACAGAATTCATAGAGTGCGTCGATTTAATTTTAGACAACACGTTCAAATTCATTTGGAGGAATTCACATTTAATGTTAATGTCATTTAATTTAATAACAATGTTATTTATTTCAGTTTGTGATCTTAGATATGTTTTGTTACTTCTGCCTATTCAGATACGGCAGATATAGTTTTTGCAGCGTTGTTTGAGCGTCTGACTGATCTAGAATTTGTCGTATCTAAAAGAAACTTAACACACCGGACCCAACAAGTAAGCACAACTGTAATTGTCTTCCGAGTGGAGGGGCAAAAAGTATGTCTATAGGATGTGATCATGTGATTTCTTTCGTTTTGGACAACATGGATAACTTCCTTAATCGGCGGCGGGCTGCTACTTACTTAAAGTTAAAAAGTTAAAGTTACAGCCTATATACACGTCCCAATACTGGGCACAGGCCTCCTCTCATTCCTGAGAGGGTTGTAGGGCAAGGAAAGGTCCACCGCACTGCCCCAATGCGTGTTGGCGAACTTCACATGACTTCAAAATATTTTTTTTTCTTATTTGTCAGACATGCAGGTTTCCTCACAATGTTTTCCTTCACTGCCGAGCACGTGGATAAAATCAGCACTTAAAATTGCAATTAACAGTTTCATTGGTGCCGGCGTGGATCAAACCCGGGTTTCTCGTGTACTGTGAAACTTACAACAAGCGCTAACCATCTGAGCTACCACGGCTACTTACTTACTATTTCATAAATGTTTGACACGGTTTTCTGGTGGTTGCAAGGTGAACGTGGAAGAGGGCGTGGAGCTGAGCGTGAAGCTGGAGGGGTTCGGGTGGTCGACGTCGCTGAGCGTGGGCGGGGCGGGCGCGGCGGCGAGCGGCGGGGCGGGGGGCGGCGCCTCCTTCAGCGCACGCATCAAGCTACGCGACCTACAGGGCAGAAGGCTCTACCTCAACGCGCGCGTTAGCGTCAACAAACATGATGGGATCAAGGTATCCCTCTTAACTAAGAAACGTTATATTTTACTAATTTTTTATAGAGTAAGGCTTACAAAAGAGCATACAATCTACCCGATGGTAAATAAATGCTGTACCCATAGATATCTACACTTATCGTCTATTAAGAATCAAAATGCAGTTGCGTTGTCACACGTGAGGACTAAAATGGTATGCCTCGTATCCAGTAAAAAGGGTCTCCGGTTCTCTACACTCACCATATGAAACATTGCAGCATTAAGCTGTTATTTCACGCTGGTATTCTGTGAGAGTTATGCTCATACGTGTTGTAACTATAATATAGATGCAGTATGGCTCTACCACGTAGAAATATAATTTAAGACGCTAAGAGCGGGTAAAATACCTAAATTCTTGGATATTGAAGTAAATCACAATAACTATTCATTTAATCCGCAAAGAAAAAATACAGGTTGACAGAAGAGGATTTAATAAATGTTTTTAATAAAATAAAATTTTATTTTTTTGTATTTCTGTCAAACTCAAAAAAAAATCCCCAACATCTTTGTAATATTTTGCAAAATATCTCCAAAACGGTACAAGCTCTTTAAATAGTTTTTACACTAACAAAAAGGTCCTAAAAATATTAATATCTTTAATTGATAATTTTATTTTTATTCCTCTCTTTACTCGAGAAAATATAATTTTTCTGTAAAATTGAATATATTCGCGCGAGCGTGCTCGCTCCGTCGTCCTATAATCCCCGCGAGCCATTGTTGCCAACTCGAATTTTTCCAAATCTGTAGATTGGTATAAAACATTCCGTAGAATTCTGTAGACTTTTATTTATAAACAATTTTTTTTAATACAGATAGCATAGAAGAGAGAGAGAGTAACTCATGATAAAAAATGTTTTTCTCCTTAAGTTTTTAAAAATTCCGTAGATTTAAACCTCAAATTCTATACGTCCGTAGATTATGATAAAATTCCGTGTATATCTACGGAAAAATTGTATAGCTGGCAACGCTGCCGCGAGCTCTGTCTTAGCCCGTTTTCGGACATCGTCGAGGGTGGACCGCGCGTTGGTGTTGGAGCGACTTCAAATATTTCGTTTTAGAGTTCACGCACCCTGAGGATTGACGAGAATATCCTGGAACTGGAAGAAGAGATAGACAAGTTGCGCTGGAATATTATAGGATTATCGGAGGTCCGAAAAGAGTAAATAGTAATTCTCGAATTCGGCAACTTGTTTTATCACCGGGAGGGGACCATCTGTCCCAAGGAGGTGTCGTATTTATCATCCACAAGTCTATCGTTCAAAATTTTGTAAAGATTGAGAGTGTGTCGACGAGGGTTGCGTACCTAATACTCAGAATCACCAAACGGTGATCGCTGAAGGTCATACAGGTTTATGCAGCAGCCTCGGAACATCCCGATGTGGAGGTAGAGGAAATGTATAAGAATATATCTAGAGCCATGCATTCCTCTAAACCCCGCTATACGGTGTTAAAGGGAGACTTCAACCCAAAACTAGGCACAAGAGAGAAGATAGCGAAATTTTGAATAGGGCAACGGCACCCAAAGGACCAGCACCTGGTTGACTTCATGGAGAAAGAGGGACTCTTTTTGATGAACTCTTCCAGAAGCGGCCCAACAGGAAGTGGACCTGGTCGAGCCCCGACGGTTCGATAAAAAATAAGATGATTTCGCGAGAGTGATAACTGGTAGCGATCACCGAATAGTTAGAGGTACACTGAACCTAAGCGTTAAGTTGGAGAGGTCTTGTCTAATGAAGTCAACGCTCCGTCTCCCGCGTGCTCTAATCCAGAGTCCCGAAACATTTCAGTTCGAGCTACAAAACCGTTTTAAGTGCCTAGAAGATTGCAATGTAGTGGACGATATGAATGACAAGCTTGTGGAAACTGTCCATGAGGTTGGAGCTAAGTCCTGCAAGAGTCACCGCAGAAGAACACCAAAACTCTCCGATCACACTCTTAATCTCATGGCAGTTGGACGGGAAATGAACCTGCAGTCTTCAGAAGCTCTTTAATTCCGTCCTCCATGGTGGCATTACACCGGAGGCGTGGAGCAGAAGTGCGGTGGTCTTGTTCTCGTCTACGTGCTGTTTTCGAGAGTCATTACGAATCGTCTCGCGCGCAGACTTGACGACTTCCAGCCTCCCGAACAAGCCGGTTTCCGAAAGGGCCATATGGGTGCCATCATTAAAATAATCCTGCCCGATCCGAAAGGGGCACATGGGTGCCATCATTAAAATAATCCTACCCGATCAGAAAGGGGCACATGGGTGCCATCATTAAAATAATCCTACCCGATCCGAAAGGGGCACATGGGTGCCATCATTAAAATAATCCTGCCCGATCCGAAAGGGGCACATGGGTGCCATCATTAAAATAATCCTACCCGATCCGAAAGGGGCACATGGGTGCCATCATTAAAATAATCCTACCCGATCCGAAAGGGGCACATGGGTGCCATCATTAAAATAATCCTGCCCGATCCGAAAGGGGCACATGGGTGCCATCATTAAAATAATCCTACCCGATCCGAAAGGGGCACATGGGTGCCATCATTAAAATAATCCTGCCCGATCCGAAAGGGGCACATGGGTGCCATCATTAAAATAATCCTGCCCGATCCGAAAGGGGCACATGGGTGCCATCATTAAAATAATCCTACCCGATCCGAAAGGGGCACATGGGTGCCATCATTAAAATAATCCTGCCCGATCCGAAAGGGGCACATGGGTGCCATCATTAAAATAATCCTACCCGATCCGAAAGGGGCACATGGGTGCCATCATTAAAATAATCCTGCCCGATCCGAAAGGGGCACATGGGTGCCATCATTAAAATAATCCTACCCGATCCGAAAGGGGCACATGGGTGCCATCATTAAAATAATCCTGCCCGATCCGAAAGGGGCACATGGGTGCCATCATTAAAATAATCCTGCCCGATCCGAAAGGGGCACATGGGTGCCATCATTAAAATAATCCTGCCCGATCCGAAAGGGGCACATGGGTGCCATCATTAAAATAATCCTGCCCGATCCGAAAGGGGCACATGGGTGCCATCATTAAAATAATCCTACCCGATCCAAAAGGGCACCATAGACCACATACATACCTTTCGGCAAATTGTACAGAAGTCCGAAGAGCACAATTTGCCACTATGTCTGGCGTATGTGGACTATGTGAAAGCCTTTGATTTCGTCGAAATTTGGGCGGTGCTGCAGTCCCTTCAGCAGTGCCAAGTTGACTGTCAGTATATCGAAGTGCTGAAGTGTTTGTACAGTAGAGCTACGATGGCTATCCGAGTACAGAATCAGAGTACGAAACCCATCCAACTGCAGAGAGGTGTAAGACAGGGTGACGTTATATCCCAGAAACTCTTCACCGCTGTATCGGAAGACGTTTTAAAGCTACTGGACTGGAAAGGTGCGGTGCGGTATTAACATCAATGGCGAGTACCTCACTCACCTTCGATTTGCCGACGATATAGTCCTTATGGCAGAATCGCTAGAGGACCTAAGCATTATGCTCAATGACCTCTATAGTGTCTCCTAACGGATAGGTCTTAAGATGAACATGGACAAAACAAAAATCACGTTTAACGTCCATGTCACACCTATGCCGGTAGTTGTTGGGAGCACTAAGCTCGAAGTTGTTGACGAGTATGTTTACCTGGGACAAATAGTCCGACTAGGTAAGTCCAACTTCGACCGAGAGGTCAATCGACGGATTCAACTCGATTGGGCAGCGTTCGGAAGGTGCAGGAAGTCGATGGATGCCGGTGGCTCAGGACCGTGCTTTGTGGCATTCCTTGGGGGAGACCTATGTTCAGCAGTGGACTTGGAAGGGCTGTAATGGTGAAGTACTTTCAGTGTCACTCTCGTAGGCATGAGTGAATAGGCTTTTGTTAAATGAGAGCGCTTAACCACCTTAGGCTACATAAGCATTTACTATCAGGTGAGATTGTAGTTAAAGGCTGGCTAAGTAGATATAGTAAAAAATTAAAGAAATTTACCCTGTGAAAGTTTGCATGTAGATATTATTTTTTTAACCAACCATAAAAATGTATTACGTGTGATGGGAATATCTATATAAGAATATAGGTTGTCTCCCACGGGACAGTCATCATCATCATTACAGTCCTTCATTCCATCTAGTGGGTGGACGCCCTGGATCTTTACATATTAGCAATAAAATTAAGACCTGACGTTTCGGGTGTTTTACAGCACGCATAGTCACGGGGGACTGAGGTGATTGACGTCCCGATGTCAAAGTTAACCCGGAGTACCTTCAGCTTTTTTAACTATTAATTTTGGTCCGATCTACGCAGAATGAAGTTACTGTGTCTTGAAGTCTTGCAGTGGTATGCTTGGGTTGTTTTGATTTTATTAATTACAGGATCCTAAGCAGGTGGTAGTATCCAGCCTCCCTCTCTACTGAAATTAGGGTGTTTTTTAATTTCAATAGCTTCACGTATTGTCCTTGGCAGGAATCGATGTTCTTTCGCGAGAATTTATGGTTTATCAAATCTAATGTAATGGCGGGGGCCGTCTAGGATATGATCACAAACTGCAGACTTCCTTAACCCAGACTTGTGATCATACCTTAGACGGCCCCCGCCATTACATTAGATTTGATAAAGCACAAATTCTCGCGAAAGAACATCGATTCCTGGCAAGGAATTGCTAGTGAGAAGTTGTTGAGAGAAGAGGGCAATAACTGCGTGCAGGTGTCGGTGTCGGCGGCGTACTGGCTGGTGAACCGCACGGGGCTGCCGCTGGTGTTCCGCGCGGAGGGCGCGGGCGAGGCGGCCGGCCAGTGGCGCGAGCACGAGCTGGCGCGCATGGTGGCGCCGCTGCTCTTCAGCTTCGCGGACGCCGACGCGGGGCCCACCGTCTGCGCGCGCCTCGGCACCGCCGTCGCGCCCAACCCTCAGGTACCTGCTGCAACACTTACTGTCTATATCTATATCCATATCAACAAAATACTTTAGGTAAAAGTCGATTCTGAAGTCGGTACTAAGATCACATGAGTAAACAAACCGAGGCAAACAGAGGCAAAGCTTCATACAACCGCGTTGTGATAGATACACTACTACAAGCTAGACGCGCGTGTGTGCGTGAACACTGGCGGCTCGTCACGTACAGAAAGAAACTGCTCTAAACCGGCTCGGCCAGTGCTCAATTTCAGGATGATGTAAAGAACAATAAGTTTTAAATTTTGTTTTTCAAATTATTATTATTCGTATGAAATGAAACGTAAAAAAGTGTAAATATGGTTTACTATACTGTTTTTATAAACAATAATAGAACCAATAAAAATTTATATTTTTATAATCATTCCAAAGACTATTAGGTAAGTAGTAACTTAACTATAATTTATTAGTTTTAATGTTGTAAATACATATACCTCAACATTGTAAAAAAACGTAGTAATACATAATTACCTGTGAGGGATTGAATATCTTATAATGTTTATAATTTAATAATAATTACGTATAAATTTAAAAACGTTGATGATTTTTATTATAATTTCAGACGACAAGGGTGGTAAAAAAGTGTCGGACGAGAAAATCTCCTTTCAAAACTCTTTTTATTATTAATAAAGCAACAACATAGAATCTGTGAGGATCACTTACAAAAATCCTATTTTAAATTTTCTAAAAAAAGAACTGTAAAATATTTATTTAGAAATACTTTTACAACACTCAACTTGGCAACAAATTATGGTGCTTATTCGAGTTCCAGTCAATGTGAGAATACATCTCAAATGAATGTATGGATTGCTTGGTCAAAAATTTCGCGAATATTTTGATCTCTGAAGAAACATTGTAAATATTGGTATTGAAATATTAAAACCCTTCAAGATTGTATATTTGTTATGCCATGTGAGCGTAGCCAGACGGGCTTCCGCAATACACTTTTCGCCCCTCCGAGGGACAGATCGTGACGGGTGGTGAACCTAGTCGCCGGTTTTCCTCCAAGAGAATCTTCGCACCTCTGCCCTATTAAATTTCGTTATTTTTTGCCTCACGGTGCGAAAGTAAGGGGTGGTATTTATTACGCCGCTACCACACGGCGAGGAGCCGAGTCTGTTCTTTCGGCTTTGTCTCTTGTTTACACGTGTAGGGTGGGTCATGGTCATGTAGAAAGAGTGACAAAGCAAATTTATGTTGTAGAGGTGAACGGCAGAGTCGGGATGGGACGCCCTAGGCCAATGTTTATCAACTAAATTGGCGATAGGTATATGAATGGGGAGGAGGCGAAAGAGGTGTTGAGTGTTTATGTTATGTTATGTGAGCGCTTTCTAATAGATTATTATTTAAAAAAAATCTTTTAAAACTTTAAAATACCAATGAAATGAAGTTACCAAAAGACAACAAATTTTTGAAGAACAAAAATTATAAAAATAACGTATATTTAAAATAAGTACTTTGTAAAGAAATATTATATCTTAAGTATATAATTAAAGCTGATAAACGTTTTGTTTATTCAGTTTAAATTTATTTTAATTAACCTCCTGTGCCAATCGAGAATCTAAAACTTTTATTTTCCTATCCGTATATCCCTAAGCGAATTGTTCTCCCAACAGTGGTGCTCGCCGTTCGGTCTGGGGCCGGGCATCACAGTGAAGCGGCTGGAGGCGGGCGGGGGTGGGAGCGGGGCGACGGGGGCGGAGCGGTCGTTCGCGGTGGGCGTGGCCGTGCGCGCCGGCCGCGGCCGCTACCACCGCACCAACATCGTGACGCTGACGCCGCGCTACCAGCTGCACAACAACACCTCGCGCCACCTGCAGTTCGCGCAGAAGTGCACCGCCACCACCCTCGTGAGTTTCATACTTTTCAATACCTGGCAACTTCGCCATTTTTGGAAGGACTTAGAAATTTAGGACCTATTTTTAACAAAAAAGGTAATCTTAGACTGAGCGTTAATGTTAAATGTAACATTATATTCCTAATAGATTCTGTATTTATTAGTGATTTTATTTATTTGGTTCACAGATGGAATGTAACGTTTACATGGTTCAGATAACATAAAAAAGTACCAAACAAACGTTCATTCTAATAACAGTGAACATAGCATGCAATAAGTGGACATGATAACAAATACAAATTAAGAAATGAAAAAACTCTCAAGTAATAAATATTAATTAATCCTTGGCTAATATAATGTTATCCCTTGCTGAGGCCTTAGAACCATGAAAAATGTCGAACAAATCACGAATATTATTATAACTATTAGTCATTCTGTACAATGGCGAATGATGACCCGCCACTGTTTTACATTGTCACGTGACAAAAGTCTTTTTGCGGCCCAAGCGACTGCCAGCTCTAGGGACCGACACATCTAAATAATTTAAAATGTCCGGACAGTTGATGAGACCATGGATAATTTTATAGAGAACATGACATCAGATGATTCCCGCCGCTTGGATAGCAATTCTAATTTGCAGTGTGCCAATCTACTCTCGTATGAAATGAGTGTCCTGCATTGATTATTTGCATACGATAACTGCTACATAAACCTTTTCTGAATCTTTTCCAGTCGTTTTGAGTGACACTTGTACCCCGGATTGCAAACTGGACTAGCGTATTCTACAGTACATCTCACGAAACAGTCAAAGACCGGAATGATTAAATCAGGGTCTTTAAAAGATTTTATTTGTCTGGATATAAACCCGGATAATTTAGAAGCTTTTTTTGTTACTACGTCAATATGACTTCTAAAGTCTAAGACTAACCGCCTAAGTCCCAGATTTCCGTGACCTCACCCAATGGCTCATTGTTTAGCTTGTATGTTGCCTCGGTTTTATTTTTCCTTCTAGTTCACTTTAGATGAGAAAATTTTCCAGTGTTGAGGATCATATGGTTTTGACAATACCAGTCGTATAATCTACCCAATTCGTACTGTAGAGCGATCACAGTTTAGAGTTAATGATTTTGTACAGTTTTAGGTCGTCTGCGTACATTTTAAAATTACATTCGACCATATTGGCTAGGTCGTTTTAAAAATTAGAAAGAACAATGGACCGACATGAGAGCCCAGGGGAACGCCTGAAAGAATCTCTCTGGCTGAGGATGAATAACCACGTAATGTGGCCAACTGTGACCGATTCCTGAGATAGGAATCACACCAGCGCATTAGTGAACCATGGACCGCCATTAGCATGATCTTCTTTATAAGCAGGTCATGGTTGATGAGATCGAAGGCCTTGCTAAAATCGGTGTAAATACTGTGTACCTCTTTATTCCTATGCAGTGCACATGCAATATCATTAACAACACCAACTAATTTAAATAAAACTAATTTTACGGATTTTATCGCGTATATTAACTTATTTTATATCCCCGACGTTACGAGCACTTTACAGGTGGGATCCGCCGGAGGAGGATTTGTAGAAAATACAACTACTACACAAGTGATCACTGGGCCGAAGTGATGGAGAAAACAAAGAAAATTGCTATGGGCGACTGTCAAAGAGACATTCGTTTTGAATGCATTATAGAAAATCCAATAATAATTAATGTTCGACGACAGCTCTACTACTTGTAGTGAAAGTGATTAAATAAATTTGTTTTTAATCTAGCGCAGCCTTGAATTTATATAACTTTATCTCTAAAAATTAACAGTAAGCAAAAAATATGGAAAAGCTAATAAATTTTGTGTTTTGAGTTAACTCTTCCTATATTTTTTTTGATATATTAATCTAAATAAAACTAAATGATTATTACCAACTCTAAAGAATCGATATCGATATCTCTTAAGAATCGAATATTGTAGGTACCGATTTTTCAGTTGGGATGCCTAGTCCAATAAATGTGACAGCTGTCAAAAGGTATTTCTTAGATTTGGTGGAGTATAATTAGTAGTAATAAGTAAAACGCGTACGTAACAGAGCGACCCTGGTGCGAGTGCGACACATGTGAGCGCAGTGGCGGGCTGCCACCTGCCGTGGCACTGGGCGCGTCGAGAGCGTGACCAGCTGCTGTGCGTGCGCGTGCTGCCATTTGCTGCCACCACTGCCACTACCACTGCTCCTGCCAACAGCGATGCCGCCGCTACCGCCTGGTCAGGTGGCTTCCGAATCGACAAACCGCGCAGCTTGCACATCGCCTGCAGGTACAATATACTATCCTAACACTATTAAAATTAGTAATATTTTTTTTATATTATCTATTGAAATGAAATCCTTTTCAATAAATCACGATGGTCCCGTTTTTGTTGTTCGTTATCCTTTTACATACTAGTTGTTATCTAGTGGTTAAAATTCCACCGTAAGCCATTCAATTTATAGGTTTGTATACTTTATTTTCAACTTCACATTAATCTATAAACTCAAATATCTAATATATTATGTACAATGCAAAATTTAAAATAAACTTAAAAAAGGAACATTTGTGATCACAAAACATTCACAGCAGTAGAGCTTATTCAGTCAATCTTTCAGTAATTATTTGTTGGCAAAATTTTAAAATTCTTTGGCTACAATCTTTACTCAGTGTGATTGTTTGACCACAGACTAACAAGGGTTTGACATTGGCCTTTGAATAATAACGTACGTATACTTGTACTTCCTCTGAGACATTGGCTGTATGAACATAAACGATGCGTGCTTTTATACGTGGTAGAGCCATGCTGCAGTTAATTAGTAGTATAGTTGTAGCACGAATGGGTCGGCTAGACCGGGGAAGGACCACGCTCTCACATAATACCAGCGTAAAATAGAAGCTGAGCATAGCGATTGCATTGCGTAGTTTGACAATTATAAAAATTGAGTTAGTTCACGTTTTCACCGTATCCGCGACGAACGCGAACTCATTAACATAACAATTAACATTAACCATTATTCAACATATTTTAATCTTATATTTTTTACTTGTTTATTAAACTGTTTTAATATAAAATTTAAATAATATGGAACATTTGTCCAATACCCGAACACTGTGTCTGTTATTGATCACATTTAGGTAGATTTTTTTTTAAATAATTAATTAAAAAGAATATCTCAAACAAAAAAAAAAGGATAATAATCATTTATCCGTTTATTATATAATAGTAGGAGAGGTTTAACTACAATTCGATCCATTCATAAATCCGGCATTCGTTTCGTGAACCGTTGAAGTAAGCGAGAGAATAAGACGAGTGGGAAAAGAGTTGTGACGGAGGGTAGTGTACTAATGGTGGGAGATAGAATAGGAGCGTCTTATGAATGGAGTGCGTAAGAGACTTGTGTAGTATTTTCGAGTACTGTGCAAATAAAATTACGCCAGTTTTTGGATAAAAACAAACCTTGATAACATTGTGATAGATGAATAATAAAAAATTCTGACAGTGCCATTATCAATAGAAACATCTGCTGCAATTGTCCTTAAATTTTTTGGTACTTACAAAATAGTGGTGTATATACACAAACTGTACTACTCTATTTCACTTTCTCAGGGGTTCCATCTTGGTCCTCAAGGGTGACAATGCAGTTGCATTATGATTCTTAATTGAGGATAGATGTAGATGTTATATAACATCCACTTACCATTAGGTGAACTATAGAAGGTGATCGTTTGTCACCCTTATTCTATAAAAAATAAACATTTTAAAAAACTTATTTAAGAAATAGCTTGGAAGCTTCTGATAGCTTAAAATTGTTTGGTAGTCATCCCTAGACACTGAGGTGGAATGTCGGGTAGGAGGATGTCACTATGATGGAACGGTTGCAGGGAAAGTGGGGGTTCTTATGTGCTGCTGAGGGTGGAGGTAGTGACACAGGGTGCTACGCTGCTGGTGGTGCTCACGGACGCGGCCTGCGCGCCGCCGCCGCTGCGCATCGACAACCACTCGCCCGTCGCCGTCATGTTCCACCAGGTACGTGCTGGTGTGCTAGCTGGCACTTATGCTGTGTGAGTGAGGCGTGTGAGTGAGGCGTGTGCGTGTGCGTGTGCGTGTGCGTGTGCAGGAGCTGTGAGCGTGCAGTGACGTGCAGTGCGTGCGCAGGTGGGGTGCGCGGAGGAGTGCGTGGTGGGGGCGGGGGCGCGCGCGCGCTGGGCGCTGCCGGAGCCGGAGGGCGCGTGCGCGCTGGCGCTGATGCTGTGTGAGTGAGGCGTGTGCGTGTGCGTGTGCGTGTGCGTGTGCAGGAGCTGTGAGCGTGCAGTGACGTGCAGTGCGTGCGCAGGTGGGGTGCGCGGAGGAGTGCGTGGTGGGGGCGGGGGCGCGCGCGCGCTGGGCGCTGCCGGAGCCGGAGGGCGCGTGCGCGCTGGCGCTGATGCTGTGTGAGTGAGGCGTGTGCGTGTGCGTGTGCGTGTGCAGGAGCTGTGAGCGTGCAGTGACGTGCAGTGCGTGCGCAGGTGGGGTGCGCGAAGGAGTGCGTGGTGGGGGCGGGGGCGCGCGCGCGCTGGGCGCTGCCGGAGCCGGAGGGCGCGTGCGCGCTGGCGCTGATGCTGTGTGAGTGAGGCGTGTGCGTGTGCGTGTGCGTGTGCAGGAGCTGTGAGCGTGCAGTGACGTGCAGTGCGTGCGCAGGTGGGGTGCGCGGAGGAGTGCGTGGTGGGGGCGGGGGCGCGCGCGCGCTGGGCGCTGCCGGAGCCGGAGGGCGCGTGCGCGCTGGCGCTGATGCTGTGTGAGTGAGGCGTGTGCGTGTGCGTGTGCGTGTGCGTGTGCGTGTGCGTGTGCGTGTGCAGGAGCTGTGAGCGTGCAGTGACGTGCAGTGCGTGCGCAGGTGGGGTGCGCGGAGGAGTGCGTGGTGGGGGCGGGGGCGCGCGCGCGCTGGGCGCTGCCGGAGCCGGAGGGCGCGTGCGCGCTGGCGCTGATGCTGTGTGAGTGAGGCGTGTGCGTGTGCGTGTGCGTGTGCGTGTGCGTGTGCGTGTGCGTGTGCAGGAGCTGTGAGCGTGCAGTGACGTGCAGTGCGTGCGCAGGTGGGGTGCGCGGAGGAGTGCGTGGTGGGGGCGGGGGCGCGCGCGCGCTGGGCGCTGCCGGAGCCGGAGGGCGCGTGCGCGCTGGCGCTGATGCTGTGTGAGTGAGGCGTGTGCGTGTGCGTGTGCGTGTGCGTGTGCGTGTGCGTGTGCGTGTGCGTGTGCGTGTGCGTGTGCAGGAGCTGTGAGCGTGCAGTGACGTGCAGTGCGTGCGCAGGTGGGGTGCGCGGAGGAGTGCGTGGTGGGGGCGGGGGCGCGCGCGCGCTGGGCGCTGCCGGAGCCGGAGGGCGCGTGCGCGCTGGCGCTGATGCTGTGTGAGTGAGGCGTGTGCGTGTGCGTGTGCGTGTGCGTGTGCGTGTGCGTGTGCAGGAGCTGTGAGCGTGCAGTGACGTGCAGTGCGTGCGCAGGTGGGGTGCGCGGAGGAGTGCGTGGTGGGGGCGGGGGCGCGCGCGCGCTGGGCGCTGCTGGAGCCGGAGGGCGCGTGCGCGCTGGCGCTGATGCTGTGTGAGTGAGGCGTGTGCGTGTGCGTGTGCGTGTGCGTGTGCGTGTGCGTGTGCGTGTGCGTGTGCGTGTGCGTGTGCGTGTGCAGGAGCTGTGAGCGTGCAGTGACGTGCAGTGCGTGCGCAGGTGGGGTGCGCGGAGGAGTGCGTGGTGGGGGCGGGGGCGCGCGCGCGCTGGGCGCTGCCGGAGCCGGAGGGCGCGTGCGCGCTGGCGCTGATGCTGTGTGAGTGAGGCGTGTGCGTGTGCGTGTGCGTGTGCGTGTGCGTGTGCGTGTGCGTGTGCGTGTGCAGGAGCTGTGAGCGTGCAGTGACGTGCAGTGCGTGCGCAGGTGGGGTGCGCGGAGGAGTGCGTGGTGGGGGCGGGGGCGCGCGCGCGCTGGGCGCTGCCGGAGCCGGAGGGCGCGTGCGCGCTGGCGCTGATGCTGTGTGAGTGAGGCGTGTGCGTGTGCGTGTGCGTGTGCGTGTGCGTGTGCGTGTGCGTGTGCGTGTGCAGGAGCTGTGAGCGTGCAGTGACGTGCAGTGCGTGCGCAGGTGGGGTGCGCGGAGGAGTGCGTGGTGGGGGCGGGGGCGCGCGCGCGCTGGGCGCTGCCGGAGCCGGAGGGCGCGTGCGCGCTGGCGCTGATGCTGTGTGAGTGAGGCGTGTGCGTGTGCGTGTGCGTGTGCGTGTGCAGGAGCTGTGAGCGTGCAGTGACGTGCAGTGCGTGCGCAGGTGGGGTGCGCGGAGGAGTGCGTGGTGGGGGCGGGGGCGCGCGCGCGCTGGGCGCTGCCGGAGCCGGAGGGCGCGTGCGCGCTGGCGCTGATGCTGTGTGAGTGAGGCGTGTGCGTGTGCGTGTGCGTGTGCGTGTGCGTGTGCGTGTGCAGGAGCTGTGAGCGTGCAGTGACGTGCAGTGCGTGCGCAGGTGGGGTGCGCGGAGGAGTGCGTGGTGGGGGCGGGGGCGCGCGCGCGCTGGGCGCTGCCGGAGCCGGAGGGCGCGTGCGCGCTGGCGCTGATGCTGTGTGAGTGAGGCGTGTGCGTGTGCGTGTGCGTGTGCGTGTGCGTGTGCGTGTGCGTGTGCAGGAGCTGTGAGCGTGCAGTGACGTGCAGTGCGTGCGCAGGTGGGGTGCGCGGAGGAGTGCGTGGTGGGGGCGGGGGCGCGCGCGCGCTGGGCGCTGCCGGAGCCGGAGGGCGCGTGCGCGCTGGCGCTGATGCTGTGTGAGTGAGGCGTGTGCGTGTGCGTGTGCGTGTGCGTGTGCAGGAGCTGTGAGCGTGCAGTGACGTGCAGTGCGTGCGCAGGTGGGGTGCGCGGAGGAGTGCGTGGTGGGGGCGGGGGCGCGCGCGCGCTGGGCGCTGCCGGAGCCGGAGGGCGCGTGCGCGCTGGCGCTGATGCTGTGTGAGTGAGGCGTGTGCGTGTGCGTGTGCGTGTGCGTGTGCGTGTGCGTGTGCAGGAGCTGTGAGCGTGCAGTGACGTGCAGTGCGTGCGCAGGTGGGGTGCGCGGAGGAGTGCGTGGTGGGGGCGGGGGCGCGCGCGCGCTGGGCGCTGCCGGAGCCGGAGGGCGCGTGCGCGCTGGCGCTGATGCTGTGTGAGTGAGGCGTGTGCGTGTGCGTGTGCGTGTGCGTGTGCAGGAGCTGTGAGCGTGCAGTGACGTGCAGTGCGTGCGCAGGTGGGGTGCGCGGAGGAGTGCGTGGTGGGGGCGGGGGCGCGCGCGCGCTGGGCGCTGCCGGAGCCGGAGGGCGCGTGCGCGCTGGCGCTGATGCTGTGTGAGTGAGGCGTGTGCGTGTGCGTGTGCGTGTGCGTGTGCGTGTGCGTGTGCGTGTGCAGGAGCTGTGAGCGTGCAGTGACGTGCAGTGCGTGCGCAGGTGGGGTGCGCGGAGGAGTGCGTGGTGGGGGCGGGGGCGCGCGCGCGCTGGGCGCTGCCGGAGCCGGAGGGCGCGTGCGCGCTGGCGCTGATGCTGTGTGAGTGAGGCGTGTGCGTGTGCGTGTGCGTGTGCGTGTGCAGGAGCTGTGAGCGTGCAGTGACGTGCAGTGCGTGCGCAGGTGGGGTGCGCGGAGGAGTGCGTGGTGGGGGCGGGGGCGCGCGCGCGCTGGGCGCTGCCGGAGCCGGAGGGCGCGTGCGCGCTGGCGCTGATGCTGTGTGAGTGAGGCGTGTGCGTGTGCGTGTGCGTGTGCGTGTGCGTGTGCGTGTGCGTGTGCGTGTGCGTGTGCGTGTGCGTGTGCAGGAGCTGTGAGCGTGCAGTGACGTGCAGTGCGTGCGCAGGTGGGGTGCGCGGAGGAGTGCGTGGTGGGGGCGGGGGCGCGCGCGCGCTGGGCGCTGCCGGAGCCGGAGGGCGCGTGCGCGCTGGCGCTGATGCTGTGTGAGTGAGGCGTGTGCGTGTGCGTGTGCGTGTGCGTGTGCAGGAGCTGTGAGCGTGCAGTGACGTGCAGTGCGTGCGCAGGTGGGGTGCGCGGAGGAGTGCGTGGTGGGGGCGGGGGCGCGCGCGCGCTGGGCGCTGCCGGAGCCGGAGGGCGCGTGCGCGCTGGCGCTGATGCTGTGTGAGTGAGGCGTGTGCGTGTGCGTGTGCGTGTGCGTGTGCAGGAGCTGTGAGCGTGCAGTGACGTGCAGTGCGTGCGCAGGTGGGGTGCGCGGAGGAGTGCGTGGTGGGGGCGGGGGCGCGCGCGCGCTGGGCGCTGCCGGAGCCGGAGGGCGCGTGCGCGCTGGCGCTGATGCTGTGTGAGTGAGGCGTGTGCGTGTGCGTGTGCGTGTGCAGGAGCTGTGAGCGTGCAGTGACGTGCAGTGCGTGCGCAGGTGGGGTGCGCGGAGGAGTGCGTGGTGGGGGCGGGGGCGCGCGCGCGCTGGGCGCTGCCGGAGCCGGAGGGCGCGTGCGCGCTGGCGCTGATGCTGTGTGAGTGAGGCGTGTGCGTGTGCGTGTGCAGGAGCTGTGAGCGTGCAGTGACGTGCAGTGCGTGCGCAGGTGGGGTGCGCGGAGGAGTGCGTGGTGGGGGCGGGGGCGCGCGCGCGCTGGGCGCTGCCGGAGCCGGAGGGCGCGTGCGCGCTGGCGCTGATGCTGTGTGAGTGAGGCGTGTGCGTGTGCGTGTGCGTGTGCGTGTGCAGGAGCTGTGAGCGTGCAGTGACGTGCAGTGCGTGCGCAGGTGGGGTGCGCGGAGGAGTGCGTGGTGGGGGCGGGGGCGCGCGCGCGCTGGGCGCTGCCGGAGCCGGAGGGCGCGTGCGCGCTGGCGCTGATGCTGTGTGAGTGAGGCGTGTGCGTGTGCGTGTGCGTGTGCGTGTGCAGGAGCTGTGAGCGTGCAGTGACGTGCAGTGCGTGCGCAGGTGGGGTGCGCGGAGGAGTGCGTGGTGGGGGCGGGGGCGCGCGCGCGCTGGGCGCTGCCGGAGCCGGAGGGCGCGTGCGCGCTGGCGCTGATGCTGTGTGAGTGAGGCGTGTGCGTGTGCGTGTGCGTGTGCGTGTGCGTGTGCGTGTGCAGGAGCTGTGAGCGTGCAGTGACGTGCAGTGCGTGCGCAGGTGGGGTGCGCGGAGGAGTGCGTGGTGGGGGCGGGGGCGCGCGCGCGCTGGGCGCTGCCGGAGCCGGAGGGCGCGTGCGCGCTGGCGCTGATGCTGTGTGAGTGAGGCGTGTGCGTGTGCGTGTGCGTGTGCTTGTGCGTGTGCGTGTGTGTGTGCAGGAGCTGTGAGCGTGCAGTGACGTGCAGTGCGTGCGCAGGTGGGGTGAGCGGAGGAGTGCGTGGTGGGGGCGGGGGCGCGCGCGCGCTGGGCGCTGCCGGAGCCGGAGGGCGCGTGCGCGCTGGCGCTGATGCTGTGTGAGTGAGGCGTGTGCGTGTGCGTGTGCGTGTGCGTGTGCGTGTGCGTGTGCAGGAGCTGTGAGCGTGCAGTGACGTGCAGTGCGTGCGCAGGTGGGGTGCGCGGAGGAGTGCGTGGTGGGGGCGGGGGCGCGCGCGCGCTGGGCGCTGCCGGAGCCGGAGGGCGCGTGCGCGCTGGCGCTGATGCTGTGTGAGTGAGGCGTGTGCGTGTGCGTGTGCGTGTGCGTGTGCAGGAGCTGTGAGCGTGCAGTGACGTGCAGTGCGTGCGCAGGTGGGGTGCGCGGAGGAGTGCGTGGTGGGGGCGGGGGCGCGCGCGCGCTGGGCGCTGCCGGAGCCGGAGGGCGCGTGCGCGCTGGCGCTGATGCTGTGTGAGTGAGGCGTGTGCGTGTGCGTGTGCGTGTGCGTGTGCAGGAGCTGTGAGCGTGCAGTGACGTGCAGTGCGTGCGCAGGTGGGGTGCGCGGAGGAGTGCGTGGTGGGGGCGGGGGCGCGCGCGCGCTGGGCGCTGCCGGAGCCGGAGGGCGCGTGCGCGCTGGCGCTGATGCTGTGTGAGTGAGGCGTGTGCGTGTGCGTGTGCGTGTGCGTGTGCAGGAGCTGTGAGCGTGCAGTGACGTGCAGTGCGTGCGCAGGTGGGGTGCGCGGAGGAGTGCGTGGTGGGGGCGGGGGCGCGCGCGCGCTGGGCGCTGCCGGAGCCGGAGGGCGCGTGCGCGCTGGCGCTGATGCTGTGTGAGTGAGGCGTGTGCGTGTGCGTGTGCGTGTGCGTGTGCAGGAGCTGTGAGCGTGCAGTGACGTGCAGTGCGTGCGCAGGTGGGGTGCGCGGAGGAGTGCGTGGTGGGGGCGGGGGCGCGCGCGCGCTGGGCGCTGCCGGAGCCGGAGGGCGCGTGCGCGCTGGCGCTGATGCTGTGTGAGTGAGGCGTGTGCGTGTGCGTGTGCGTGTGCGTGTGCAGGAGCTGTGAGCGTGCAGTGACGTGCAGTGCGTGCGCAGGTGGGGTGCGCGGAGGAGTGCGTGGTGGGGGCGGGGGCGCGCGCGCGCTGGGCGCTGCCGGAGCCGGAGGGCGCGTGCGCGCTGGCGCTGATGCTGTGTGAGTGAGGCGTGTGCGTGTGCGTGTGCGTGTGCGTGTGCGTGTGCGTGTGCGTGTGCAGGAGCTGTGAGCGTGCAGTGACGTGCAGTGCGTGCGCAGGTGGGGTGCGCGGAGGAGTGCGTGGTGGGGGCGGGGGCGCGCGCGCGCTGGGCGCTGCCGGAGCCGGAGGGCGCGTGCGCGCTGGCGCTGATGCTGTGTGAGTGAGGCGTGTGCGTGTGCGTGTGCGTGTGCGTGTGCAGGAGCTGTGAGCGTGCAGTGACGTGCAGTGCGTGCGCAGGTGGGGTGCGCGGAGGAGTGCGTGGTGGGGGCGGGGGCGCGCGCGCGCTGGGCGCTGCCGGAGCCGGAGGGCGCGTGCGCGCTGGCGCTGATGCTGTGTGAGTGAGGCGTGTGCGTGTGCGTGTGCGTGTGCGTGTGCAGGAGCTGTGAGCGTGCAGTGACGTGCAGTGCGTGCGCAGGTGGGGTGCGCGGAGGAGTGCGTGGTGGGGGCGGGGGCGCGCGCGCGCTGGGCGCTGCCGGAGCCGGAGGGCGCGTGCGCGCTGGCGCTGATGCTGTGTGAGTGAGGCGTGTGCGTGTGCGTGTGCGTGTGCGTGTGCAGGAGCTGTGAGCGTGCAGTGACGTGCAGTGCGTGCGCAGGTGGGGTGCGCGGAGGAGTGCGTGGTGGGGGCGGGGGCGCGCGCGCGCTGGGCGCTGCCGGAGCCGGAGGGCGCGTGCGCGCTGGCGCTGATGCTGTGTGAGTGAGGCGTGTGCGTGTGCGTGTGCGTGTGCGTGTGCAGGAGCTGTGAGCGTGCAGTGACGTGCAGTGCGTGCGCAGGTGGGGTGCGCGGAGGAGTGCGTGGTGGGGGCGGGGGCGCGCGCGCGCTGGGCGCTGCCGGAGCCGGAGGGCGCGTGCGCGCTGGCGCTGCGCGCGCCGGGCGGGCCGCGCCTCGTGCTGCCGCTCGACGCCGCGCCGGCGCCGCACGCGCACCGCCTGCTCTACCAGAACTTCCTCTACGTCGCCTTCCCCGCCACCAGCGACAGGTAACCCTCTTTTATCTGTTAACCTTTATAAATAAACTTCATTCATAAATTGTAGAGTAGATTATAGCACGTTGACGTTTGTCAAAAAATAGAAAAATTTAATTTAATTTACATACCTTGAGTCAAAATGATAATAATATATTCATCTTCAGCCTAGACATTAAAGTGTAATGGCATAACACTGAAACTATTATAATTTATTAGTATTAACCAATTATATATTACAAAGAACCAGGGCTCGGAAACCAGTTCAAATTCTTAATTGGTTTCGGTCATTGACCCCAAAACCGGTTTTTGCGGAATACCGGTTTTTCACAAAGTTAGGTTTAGGTAGTAAGAATTAACCGGTTAAAACCAAGTTTTGTAATGTCCCCCCTCTCCCTTACCCCGCTTGCATCCAACAAGCGGCTCGAATCGTCGACGACCGAGCCCTTTCCGATCGGCTCGATTCATTGGCACTGCGAAGAGATGTTGCATCTCTTTGCATTTTCTTTCGCATCTACCATGGGGAGTGCTCTGAGGAATTGTTCGGATTAATCCCAGCCGCCAAATTTCACGAACGCACATCGCGGCAGAACTCCCGATACCATCCACACCATCTGGATGATTGGCGGTCCACCACTGTGCGATTTAGAAGATGTTTTCTTCCTCGCACAACTTCCTTGTGGAATAGTTTACCACCAGGGATTTTTCCGGACCGATACGACTTAGGGACCTTCAAGAAAAGAGCCTACTCCTTTTTAAAAGGCCGGCAACGCATCTGCAATTCCCCTGGTGTTGCGGTTGTTCATGGGCGGCGGTAGTCACTTACCATCAGGTGAGCCGCATGCTCGTTTGCCCCCTCTCCTATAAAAAAAAAAAAAAAAAACTTTGTACGGCTGCCCTCTGTTTAATTCACGACGTTTTTAGACACACGTACGATATATTCATTGCATCTACGCGACTGCCTTGTAATGTACTCCCTCATAAGTTTTCATCTTTCAGCAACGATCGTATTATAAATAACAGATGTAAATTCTGTTTCTGAAAATTGAAGTGTCTGTTCGTAACGTCAAAATAACAGATTTTTACTAAATACATATTATGAAAGTATATAATATAAAAAAAATTTAATTTTTTCTATCTGTATGTCTGTTTGTTCCGGCTAATCTCCGAAATGGCTGGACAGATTTTGACGGGCCTTTCACTGGTCCGATTGCCGACTGCCTCGTTGGTCTAGTGGTTACGAGCACGACTGTGGATCATGATTTGGTCCTGGGTTTGAAACCCGGATCGTGCCAAGTACTGTTATTGGATTAATTTGGGTATAATGAGTTTTCTAAAAACCACCGTGATAGTGCTATTACAACCCTCAATCAAGCACTTAGATATTGAGTTTCCTCGTCGTACGTTTTCTTATAGAAAAGGGGGCAAACGAGCATGCGGCTCACGTAATGGTAAGTGACTACTGCCGCACATTAACAACCGCAACACCAGGGTAATTGCAGGTGGTTTCCGGCCTTTTAGAAAGGAGTAAGCTCTTTTCTTGAAGGTCCCTAAGTCGTATCGGTCCGGAAAAATCGTCGGTAGTAAACAATTCCACAGAGAAGTTGTACGGGGAATAAAACTCCTAGTAAAACGCACAATGGTGGCCCGTCAAGCATCCAGATGGTGAAGATGGTATCGTAAATTTTAACGCGATGTGGGTTCATGAAATATGGCGGTTGAGATGAAACCGAACCTCAGAGCACTCCCCGAGGTAGCTGCGACAGAAAATGCAAAGGGATGCAACATCCCTACGCAGTGCCAGTCAATCGCGCCGATCAGAAAGAACTCGGACGTCGACGAATCGAACTGCTCTGCGCTGGATGTGGTCAAGTGGAAGGAGCTGACACTGGGGTGCCCCGGCCCAGAGATGAGAGGCCGAATTTGCTCTTTGTAAAGTTGCAAGTGATGTGCCGACATGAAATACTGCCCCGCTCTGCTGAGCACGCCAAGCTTTTTAGAGGCCAGTTTGGCCTCCCCTTCCAAGTGACCAAAAAACTGCACACTATTCGATATGTCGACGCCGAGGATTCCGATGCTAGCTGAGACAGCAAGAGAAGTGCCTTGAAACTGAGGAGATACGACAAATGGGTTCTTTTTAGCGGTATACGTGCAAACTTGTGTCTTCTGGGGATTGAAATGGACTAGATTTAGCCGCCCTGAATTCGAGACTATTCAGCAAAAAATCTACTTCGGACACAGTTTGTTCCGTTACTCGGAGACGTTTTCCCGAGAAATATTGGCACGGCCGGTGTACATTGCATCACCAGTGCTGTCGTTGTTACCAGTTTGCAACATATCATTGATATGCAGTATAAACAGCGTTGGTGATAGCACGCAGTCTTGTGGAACACGAGCTTTAATAGGCTTGTAATCAGAGCATGCACCGTCTACTAGGAACCTTGATGCTTCGATCAGCAAGGAAACTGGTGATCCAATTGCACAATTTCTCGGGAAGCCTATGGGAAGGGAGCTTCGAAAGAAGCTTTGTGCCAGACCCGATCGAAGGCCTTCGCTATGACCAAACTAACGGCCAAAGCCAACCTCCAAGGGATAGTACTATACTGCTTTCGCCGATCTATGAGTTAGATAGACCAGAAGATCACCAGCTGATCAACCCCGACGAAAACTGTTTATAATTGATTCCATTATTTTGGAGAACAAGGAGATGATGGCGATAGGCCCGTAGTTTGACGGGTCTGAGCGGTCGCCTTTTTTAGGGATTGGGGAACCAAATATGGAATATGTCCCATGAATATGGGACAACGCTTTAGGAGTAGAAGTACCGGAAAAGACGCGTTAAAACCGGTGGCAACTTGGGAGCACACGTCTTCAGCACAATGGGAGGGACTCCATCAGGCCCACTCGACTTGTTGACGACCAGGGAGAGGAGTGATTTGCGGACCAAGCGCTGTGTAAACCGCACATATAGTGTGAGTGACACCACCCTCCGGACAAGACAATGGCCCTAGGAATTGAGGGGTGTCGACGGAAACCTGATATCCGCCCTGATGAGGTCAGCAGAAGTTCCAACAAGGGAGGTGCATGATCCTCCACTGGAATCAACGTAGGCAATAACCAGCTGCGTAAGACCATATGCCAAGGTAAAGTCATAAACAAATCTCTCCGCATGATCGTTTAAACATGAACCGAGTCATTCGGCGTGATGGTCGTTAGAACCGCCAAGGATCACGATCTCTGTGGATACCTCCCCCCCCTCCCTTAATACCAGAATACGCGGGGCAGCTTGAGCACACACGCTCAAGAACAGTAGGGTAGCTTGGGCGTGGGTGCTCAGCGAAGGATTCTCCATCACGAGGATGCTGGTACCCTCCTGGGGTAGTTTTTTTATTTGATTCCGCTACCATACTGCGAAAAATTTACCGGTAATTAATCGAAATTAACCGCTCTTTTTAAACCGGTTCCGAGCCCTGCAAAGAACTATATGATATCAATTATTTAAAATATGTGTATATTTCTTTGCTTTTAGTTTTTAATGATCGTTTGAAAAGCACGAACCATATATACGAACTACTATGTGTGATGTGAACATTGTGCTCCCGTAATTTATTTGTTTAAAAATAGTTATTCAACTGTATCGTGTTAGATTTACCAAAAAAGTGGAAAAAACTGTTTAATACGTGTGTGAGAGTGTTATCAAGACATATAATATGCAAATTAGATTGCATTATTGTGAATCTTACGGCGAACTATCAACAGCAATAAAATCTGATATGTGCTATCTTATCCCAAAACAATACTAAATAAATCATAAATCTATTAATAAACAGTGAGACAAATAAAAACAGAAATATAAAACAATAAATACTTTAGAAACTTAAAGACTTTATATTTGTGATTTAAAGTGACGGTTGAAGAAAAATTTTCAAACAAATACAAAACGCTCCTAACGAATCCTTCACTTCATATTTGTTTGTAATAGAACCACTATTTTAGCAGAATAAGTAAGATGTAACGGTGGCGTATTGGCTACGCATTCGAGTTGGTCAATTGAAGCCGCGAGATCGAATCTTCTAACCTGCACAATTTGACTTTTTGTGAATGTTTTAAGTTTAAATTTGAATTCTAAACACTATAAACAAAACAAATGGTAACGGAGTGTGAATAATATAATATAACTCACTGGTAACAGACTGTTACGCGACACAAAACATTATACTCGTATAGTTGCACCATACTGCACACTATATGCGTTATAAGCCGGTGGTAATAAGTTCAAGTCTCGCAGCTGATTGTACATATTTTTTTTCTTTATTACTGTTTTACTTTATTATTTGGAGCAAAATATGGATAAAAAAATAGCTCAGAAAATGGTCAAGTACCCTGTTTGCTGTAAATGCCAAAAGAAAATAATGAAAAAAAGGGATATACTTTGTTGTGTATCTTGCAAAAATTTTTACGACATAACTTGTGCACAAGTATTGAGCACCAAAGTTAATACAATGGACAAACTAAAAAACGAAATCTGGAAATGCCAAACGTGCCATGAAGTCAAAGCTAAGCTACCAATAGCGAGTGAAAACACCGATACGCTTTGCTCATATAACTTGACAAAAAGAAGCACTAGACATAAGGCACCTCCAGTAACGCCATTGCATAAGTCTGAAGAGGAAGAATCAACCAGTTCCGAGGATGACCTACATAGCCTGCCAGATATTAGTACTTATCAAAATGACAGAGAAGAAGAGTTGTTAAAAGAAATCGCAAATTTGAAATTAGAATTAAAAAAAGCTCATAATGAAATAGAAAATTTAAACATGGAAAATACAAAATTACAAAAGCAAATATTAGAAAAGGAAACGCTGACTGTAAAATGGAAGAAACTATTTACTGAAGCGATGAGTACACCCAAAAGGCGCGCATCTCTTACATATCGAAATACGGAAAAGAAAAAAGATAATAAATCTGGACAAACCCACCAATAGAGTTAGATGAATCAAACTATAGTGCTGTAA